GTATTTAGTTGGTATTTTTAGTAGAAAATATTTTTAAAATAATTTTAGTAGAAAATATTTTTAGTAGAATTATAATTTAAATTGTTTTATATCCCCGTGCAATGCAGCAAGAGATCTATTTTAAGAGAAAACTACGCCGGAAATGTAAAAATACAGCAGCACGCGTATTTAATAAACAGATATCTCGTAATTTAAATTTAAACTGAATAAATGTAATTGACTACTGTGTCAGCTGTGATCGTAATTCTACTCTTTTGTTTTCCAGAAATCTCGAGAAAACGGAAATTACCAGAACCGATTAAAAAGCTTTAAAAAGCTCGTGTCCGATTAAAAAGATTTAAAATGCCGGAGAGAAACATCTCACTTCAGTTGCTTACTAAGTTGTTGTTTACTTAGCTGCTATAATTTTGAGATCGGATTGGCTTTCTCTGCGCTTTGGATTCAATTTAACGTTTTAGTAGTTTAAAATATAACTACTGAGTGATACTGTGTTATATGTGATATTGTACGAATATCTCTGATGAAAAAATTCCAGCATTTTGCTTTATTTCTTGTGATAAGAAGAAATTTTATTAACTTTTTATCGGACTTGTGTATTCAATCTATTACGAACCAGTTCGAACACAACAATATTTTAATTTGGCAGTGGAAACACATTTTTTTTTTTTACTAACAACGAGTTTGTTTATTAAATGCGAGCCAAATAAATATAATTGCGTCGTCCCGAGTGACAACACCTTCTTTTTATAGCGCCGAGTTTTCTGATAAAATTTGATAAAATTTCTGATAAAACCCTTTGCATGGTGGCATCGCAAAACTTTTAAATCGGTGAGTTTTTGATCAAAAGTTCGTAAAATTAGAGTAAAATATAGGTATCTAAAGAGTGCGGACTCCACGGCTGATTTTAAGAAATCTTATGTAGACAGTGCTCTTCCTCTTGTTTTGAAGGTCAAGGGTGGCAAGAATTATAAAGATTAAAATTAAACTGTAGAAAAGACTATACATTAAAATGTAGAAAATTTGTATGAAAGCTAAACAAACAAACATTTTTATATATACTATATACATGAGGTTGAAACTTTCACCTAACTTATTCATATAATCACAGTCAAATGTTCGTATGAATATCATAGTACATATGTTTATTTCCTTTTGGAGATCTTTTAACTGAGGTTAATTTAACGAAATATTTTGTTGCCTAAGGATTTGAATTACAATTATCCTGAACACAATACCCCCGAAATTAGATATTTCTTAAAACCAGTTTCCTTATTTGAATTTTATTAGATAACGTTATTTCATCAACAGTGATGTGTCCCTGTGAAAAGTGTTTAGCAGGTGTATTTTGAGCTTAAATCACTGAGACTCACATGACCTCTGACGTCATCACAAATTTACCTTCTATTGGTTTTGTAAGTTACAGACTGTATTCAATTCTTGGTCTTATTAATTACATACTTAGCTTTAACGAAAATTTGAAAACTATATTGCTCATTTTCAATTGTTTAACCCTTTCACCGTCCTCTCCTGTCCGCGAAAATTTCTCCCCAGCGGCTCTCTGTTTTTCGCAACGTGTAATGCTGTTTTCTTCGTACACGATAACGTTCCATACATGAATTTCGTAGTAGATGAATGTAAATGAATATCAAGTAAAATTATGAGGAAATAAAGCATAATGAAAAAGTAATAATATCTCTTCTTATTTCTAACAGCAGGATAATTTGATAGCATCTGATCCAGGCGGTCCACTCCTCTCATTTTGTTGTTGTAATCTTTTACAATTATTGTTTTTTTTACAGTTCTTTTCCGTGTTCCAACATCAATCCTCAAGTTATTGTGGACTGTACTCATCAAACGTATATCCTTCTTGTCTTTCCAATTCACAACCTTATTTTTTCTCTTTTTCTGCTGAATAGACGTTGAAGCCATCTCTCACTGTCTTGTATCTTATGTAAAATGGCGCAAATATTCATATAACGCAGGGGGGAATATTAGAAATTATTAGATTATTTATTTAATTAGACATAGAATGCTTGATTAGCGCAGCCCTTTAAGGAGGTATTAGAACAAACAAAAATAAAAATTCAAACAAGTAAACACTTAGAAAACGTTTTAAACGTTTAAAATTTTTAAATGTAGAAGAACGCTTGAAGCGCGTTACGGCCGCCCTGCAGAAGTTTCACTTGAACGCGCTAGGCGCGTTACGGACGACGAGCAGGTTAAATATCCATTTCCTTTTTAATTAATTCTAATTTAATTTAGGTTTCAATTTTTAAATTAATTTGCAGATATCCATTCTTAAGAGATGCCTCGCGTTTAGATTGTTAGCTCTTTTTTATTATATTTTTTGAGTTGACAGTTAACTTTTTTAATTCATTGCTTTCTGCTTAATTGTGAAAATTTAATTGAGGAATGCTTTTCAGTAAGTTTTCCGTTCTGTGTGGTGGATTTGTTTCAGATTCTGATTACTTAAGAAAGCCTTGTTCTTTCTCTATTAAATAAATTTTTGTTGTTATTTAGAAAAAATGCCGTTGCTTTGATTTTCAAGCTTTGATTTCTTTTGCTTAATTCTTAGCAATATTATAATCAGGAGTATGAGTTTAGTTTATTTCTCTGTTTGGGTACCCAATATGGCACGCAAGCTGCAAGTGTGTTGGTTCGATTCATTATCACCATAGAACTGGAAGGAGGGAGGACGGAAAAACAAAATGCATGAAGGACGAGGGAGGGTGGTGAGAGGTCCCGAAGAATTTTTGTTTTCTTTTTTTTTTTTTTTTTTTAATTTTTTCACTTCCATTACCCCTTTCTCGTTGCACCGGCATCAGGCTGTGCAGCCTTGAAAAGGAAAGCCCAATTTAAATAAGATTGCCAGATGTTAACTTCTATTTAAGCCTAAATAAACTATATTTAATATAAATTATATTTAATTGATACATTATTTTAAAATAAAAGCATTTTACGATATATTAAAAAAATCTTTGAAGTCGCAAAAAATAGCATAAGAAAATGATGGATGTCGCAAAAATTTCGCAGAATCGCAATTACTTAAATTTTAGTAGCACAAGTTTGTCAAAAGTCGCAAATTTGTGCAAAATTGCGTGATCTGGCAACACTGAACAGGTGCCCTTTAGTATCATATATTTCTATGATTCAGTAGAGAGCTGTAATAAGAGTAGAATTTTGAAAGTTTGCAAGAAAATAATTATCAGTTGACACTGGAGTGAATTGTCCTAAACCTTCTAAATGACTGTTTAAAAATGCAATTGTATTGTTAATTAAGTTAGAGTCATTGCTGTAACAATTCTTGCAGTGTTGAGAGACGAAAATCGCTTGGTCATGGACTTCATATTTAGATACCGACGAATAACAGAGTGCCTAATAAACGAAGGAACAATAAAATTGTTTCACTTTTTCTGTAATCTTTAATGCAGAAGGTAGCTGGATCTGCCTTTGTAGATTAAGTGTACAGTAAAATTGATCGAATCGTTTAAAAGCTAAGAAATAAATGATTCTTTTAGTTTCAATGCTTCATTTCAGTTTAGTTATACTTGTGAGAGCCATATTAGTTTATCTTCTTATCTAAGCTATTATCTTTATTCTCCAAACTTAAATTTTCATTAAGAATTATATCTAGGTATCTCACCTACCTCTCGTTTGGTACTATCGTGCTATTTGAAATATTAATATTAACTCCAGCCCACGAGATATTTTTTGAAGACAATAACTGTGTTAAAGTGTTAATTTTGATTTTCTTGATTTTGATCAAATTATGGGGAATTTTAAGCATGTAATTTGAAACCAGTGTGAACCGCAGCTTGAATTTTTCTAAAAAAAGCAGTATCATGAGCATATTACGCAAGTCAATCATAATTCACTCAAAGTGTTTTTGTTTTAAGGGGGCGCATACACCCTAAACCCCTTATCATCTTCGAATATGTGACTGTTGCAAGAATTGGGATATTTTATTTATTTTAAAAGCAATTACTCCACTTTTTACAGATGACTACATACATGCTGCTTTGGGACGGTAACCAGAAAGTTTGGTTGCCACAATATTTTTGTAATTTAATCCGCTTTGTGACAAAGCGTTTCACTGTTTCCACCTTGCCCCATATTTTTAAAATGCTAATGCTACATACTTAAATTGATGAATTCTTATGGGCACTCTTTTCTACGAACCTAAATTTGATGAATATTTTAATATTGAAAAGATTTATGCATGAAAACTTATAGACTTTTTAATAAATATATTTATGAACTCACCCAAATAAAATAAAAATGTAACATCAAATTCAGATAAGTTGGTTCACAGTTTTTCCAAATGTATAAAAGTATATATAACTGTGGAATTAATTAGCACAGAATGTTTTAAACTGTCCAGAAGGGGAAAATGACGAAAACTTTTGTCACAAGCGAATTAAATTATAAAATATTGTGCAACACAAACTTTCTGATTGTAGCAACACCCGTTTCGTTTCTTCTTTTAAAACTTCAATCTTTTATTTCAAAAAGTAGCCATATTATATAGTCAGCTGTGAAAGGTTGGAAGTAATTGCTTTTAAAATAAATAAGTTATCCCAAAACTTGCAATAGTCACATATTCGAAAATTTTATGGGTTTTAAGGTGTATGAGTCCCTTTAAGTTCAAATGAAGTAGATATACACAAATAACACTTTTGGTATTTGAATTTTTGATAGAGCAGATAATTTCAGTTAAAGAAGTTTTGAATTCAAAGCGAAAGTCTGTAGCCATAAATACATATTTTATTATTCGTTCAATAACTAACTGCTTTTGTTTAAGTTAAAAAATAAAGTAGACATAAAATGTTACTTATCAAATAACATTTTTGATGTTTATTATTAATAACCCTTTTGATGTTTATTATACTTTTTTCCTTATGTAAAACATGAACATATTGCTAATCCAAGATAGTTTTTATTTAAAGTTCACATGAAATGTATCTACCTAAAAGATTTAAATAGAATCTGATATTACTTACCATTGGTTCTGTTATTGAACTACCTTACACATCGCAATTCAATACAAAGTATTTTCACATTTCTCAATACTCGTACTTAAATCCCTTGCGTTAGGGACACAGGGACTTTCACATAACTCATAAAATGAAATCATTGCAGACACTTCGGCAAGTGGCAGGAGTCTCTTGTCTCCTTTTATACAAGAGATTCAGCGAAAGATTTATTTTCCATCAGCACTTTTCAGATTGGAAACATCGATTCGAGTCCCAGTTACGAGAATTTGTTAGCGTTTAAGAACAAAACAGAGCTTTGTATCTAAGCAACGAAAGAAACGCCGTTTGCACAGAACGTCGGATGCGAAATACTCATGAATCTTTGATTTTGTTCTAATAAATCATTTCAGAAAATTTCCTAAATTAGAAACAGAATTCAATGGTTGAAAGCATTCGAGTGTTTTCTCGAAGATTAGAATGTAATAATAAAAATCTAGAATAAGTTAATAACAGAAAATTTATTAAAAACGTATTTATGTCTCAATCGAATTTTAAATAGCTAAACAATACTGAGAATAAAATGTTCTTAAGTAATTTATATTTCTTGGCTCAATAATCTACATCAGTCGCTAAAGAATTTTCTGAAAGAAAATTGCAAGACATTTCTGACATGTGAATGATGGAGTTTGTGTTTTGGGCTGATAACGTATATTTGGATAATAAGGCACAATATTTCAAGGATTCAAATGAGATATGACATTTATATGTGTATTATTTGTCTTAGAAAACTGTTAAACACAGATTAGAATCGATAAAAATTTACACATTGGTTTTAAATTGTGTTAAAATAGCAAAGAACAGTTAAACAACTAAAGGTTTGACTTCAAGGAATATATTATTACATAGCTATGAACTTATAAATATGCTAAATAAAATGTAGTTACTAAATTCCCTGTTGCATATCTACAAAGATCTTTATACTTCCAAAAAAAATTAAAACTGTGCTTCCATTATAGATACTTGAGTTTAAAATAAACGTAGATAAGAAAAATGTTCCTATACTAACAAGAGATACTTAAGAGCCTAAATGAAGAACGTTATGGCTCAAATCTTGATTTCACGCAATTAAAATTTATCTTATGCAAATATATTCGTCCTGTAATTAACTGAAATCTTGATTTTACCTAAGTAAAATTTATCTTATGCGAATATATTTGCCTAATTAGCTGAAATTCTGATTTTACTTAAGTAAAATTTATGCAAATATATTCGTCATGTAATTAGCTAAAATGTTAAAAAATAAAAATGGGTATCATATTTACAGGGGTTGGACAAAAATATGGAAACACCTTTAAAAAAAACATGTTTTCTTGCTTAATATGGGTAGGAAACCCGTTGGCATCCAAAACAGCTTTGCAGTCTTCTCGGAATGGAAAATACAGTTCCTGTATGTTGCCAAGGGAATATTATACCATTCTTCCTGCAAAACGGTGGCAAGTTCAGATAACGATGTTGGCGGTGGATAACGAGAACGCATTTCCGTTCCAATGTAGACCACAAAGGTTCGATAATATTCAGGTCTGGTGACTGTGGTGGCCAGGGGAGATGGGACAACTCATCCTCGTGCTCAGAAAACCAGTCCTGGACAATGTGAGCTGTTGTGAACAGGGGCTTTGTCGTCTTGGAAGACACCATCACCATCGGGGAACAAAGTTTGTACCATGGGATGAACTTGATCGGCCAAAATGTTCACATAAGTCTTGGCAGTCATGTGCCTCTGACACAGTTATCATGGGGCTAGCAGAGAACCACGATATGGCTGCCCAAACCATAACAGAACCCTGCCATGTTTCACTCTTGGCAACAAGCAGTCTGTATTATAGGCTTGAGATGGCGTTCTTCAGACGTAAACTCGGCCAGAAGTGGGAAACAATGTGAAAGAAGACTCGTCAGACCATATTACTCGCTTCCACTGCTCTATAGTCCAGGCTTTATGACTTAAACACCACCTTTTCCTGTTACGGGCATTAGCATCACTGATGAGTGGCTTCTCAATTGCAGCACGGCAGCAATTCCCTGTTTATGAAGCTCCCTTCTAATTGTTTTGGTACTCACAGGGTTCGGTAACACAACATTCATTTCAGCAGTAACTTTTGCAGCTGTGGTCTTCTTATTTTTCGTCACAATTGCCCTTAATGATCGTCTGTCACGATCACTCAGGACACACTTTCGTCCGCGCTGTGATTTAGCAGATGATGTTTTTCCGCTTTTCAAAATATGCGGAATAAATCTTTCGATACAGTACCTCTTGAAACACCTAAACACCTCGGCTACCTTGCTTACGGAAGCACCTACCATACGTGCTCCAACAACTTTGCCCACGTTCGAAGTCTGTTAACTCTGACATAATGCAATGACAACCTCACATAACAGTACTACTCGACAACAACTGAACTGTTTAGCACATTTACGAAGTTGTATAGGTGGCATCAGTAGTCAAAAATGCCAGTGCCACCTACATATTTCATTAAAATCAATCTTTCTTTTCAAACATGCATTTCACAAGGTGTTTCCATATTTTTGTCCATCCACTGTATCTGATATTAGAATAAAAAAAAGTGAAAGCTGAACTGTTAACGGAAATGTGGAATTAATTTCGGAATTTTCGTTAAGAGAAATGTGGAATAATAAAATTAATTAACATTAATTTTAATTAATAGGACAGATATCATTTAATTTTCATTCTAAAATTTTTCCAACATAAAACACAGTTTAAAATCGAAATTGATGGAAAGCTGAGAGAAAAAGCAAAAGATTTTGTCTAAATAATTTTGTCTAATAATGGACACATAAATGTAATAATAATTGAATTAAAAGGTAGGAAAAAAATTATAACTGTTTTTAAAATCTACGTTCAGTATGATAGAATAATTTAAAACTGAATATAGTTGGAACAAAAGGATAAAGCAAAACGTTTTGTAGCTGGACAAATAAGTAAGTAATAAAAATAAAAATATCAAAGTCAAATACCAAGAAAATGAAAGTAGAAATTGAGTTGTATACAGTATTACTATCGTTTTACTCTTAGATATCCTAATTAAATTATTAGGCGATGGATAGAAAGAAAAAGGTAGAAGAAAAGTTCGTTATCATCTTTCGTATTTTCATATTTATCTTTTATTTTATATTAGCAGTTTTTGCGCTTTCCACATCTTTCGCATTCTAAAGATAATATTAAAACATGTTATTGTTATTCTGATAAAATTATCATTTTCTGGTTCTTCATAAGCAACAGCTTCTAACATTCATAAAAAATTCTCTATTAATATTCTAAGGTATTTCTCCCACTTTCCTAGCGTGCCTTCGTGGTGTAGTGGTTCTGCACGCTGGGCCGGTATTCCAGAGGTCCGTGGTTCGATTCCAGGCGAAGGCATTTGCTATTTCTCATCTTTCCTGCTGTCTCTGCAATAGCAGCGACAATGATGTTTAGAATTCCAAAAGTATCCTGGTCGTTTATTCCAATATGGAATGTTTGAGTTGAGAATCAATACAGCTGCTTAGAAGAAAACTGTAAAATTTTCTCTTAATTTAAGTGACAGAGAAAACCAAAACGTTTAATTTATTTATAATTTAATAAAATTAATAACATTACAATATTTAAATGATAATGTTTCATCATTATCAATAAACTTCGTAGAGAGGAAGTACCTAGAAAGAAAAGAATAACAAGATATTAAACAATGACAGTTCATAAAAGAAAAATAAATCTTTTTGAAATTTTTCCAAAGCTAGGTACATTAATAAAAAACTTACCTTCTTCAAAAAGCTTGTTTTCTCAATTATACTTCAAGATATTGAGTTCCAGAAGCTTGTTACTTTCATCTAGGATAGATAAACGTAACATAAACAAATTTTTCTAATTTAAAACTATAATTATAACACACATTTTTTAAATCTAATTAAAGAAAACGTTTAGTTCTCGTTTAACCTTTACTTCAACATGAAAAAATTTAGTGCATTCTGGTAGATAGCTATCTCAGAATTTTCCTTTGCTTACATTTGTTTGAAATTTTGAAACCCAAAGTCCTTTGAATATGCATTTTTATTTTATGGTCGTAAAAGATCTCTCTGATTTTATTTTACATGGACCTGAGTACATTTTACGTTAATAATCCTAGAATAAAGAAAGTGGAGATTATATAATTATGCACTAATTAAAATTTGATTTAAGGATGAAGTCCTTAAATCTTGAAAATTTGATTTAAGGAAGAATCGGGAGTTGCTTGTTCAAGGAGAAGATTTTAAAATTTTGTAAGCATAGTAAAAGTAGTTTAAAATTATTTCATAAAACGCAGGATTTAAATCAAATTTAAAAAGATTTTTCTTTCAAAATATTCTTTTAACTCTCTTTGCCAAATCTTACTTCAAGTAAAATCTTTTGTGTTCGTAGTTATCAATTTTCTTGAAACAATCAAAAACGAAACGAGCAAACGATACGAGCCTGACTGCGATACCGAAGGGCCTGTGTTGGAATCCCGAAGAAGGCAGGGTTGTAACTATCTGTCCCTTCATATGATGGCCCACCTTTTAGGTGCCTCCATAATAACCACCAAATCTGGCCTGGCCGTTTCGCCGGCGCAAATCTCGCCAAGCAGACTTTGTTGGCGACAGCATACACTATACACATAAAAAGTGTTAACAAATGTTAGTTCTAAGAATTTTTAATTTTGAAGGTATAAACATTTTAATATCATTTAAAATTTGTAAAAAAAAGCCAATAAATAAAGGACAATAAATTTGTAAAAAAGACATTAATTTAAGAATTTACTATGCTTTCATGGTTCAACATCCTGATTCGCCGGTTTCCTGTCACGTGACCCCAAGTAATCTCATCTCACGTAAACTACGCTACAAAAATCTAATTCTCTCAGTAATTATCTGCATTAATTTCAAGTTAAATCTTAAATTGGAATAATAGTTTAAATGCAAGAATTATTTCAATTCGTACGAATAGCTTACTCAGAAATTATGTAAAACCGCAGTGCTTTACTTCGCTAGTGCATTCTCATTAAAATTGATCACTCTAACCCTTGATTTTGCATTTCTGTATTTTCGCCTTCCGGTGCATCCTAATTGATTTAATGACCGCGAATGGTCTTAGGGCATCAAATTTAACTATCTTGTAAAACTTCTATGTAATTGTATGCCAGTATTGAAAGAAACAGTCAATCTGACAAGAAATGGCTGCGACTTGTTTAGAAAATGAAGCCTAAAAGGTTACCAGCGAAGATATTCTGTTTGGCATCAGTTGTACAATTATTGGCGACTTTATCGTTTGCGCCGGCAAAACGGAAAAGTACCTCTGGCCTTAGTATAGATTATTGGACTCTGTTACAACACTGTAACTGTTCACAATCTGCCATTGAAAAAAAATGCTGAAGGAATGCAAATTCTACCTTTTGGAGAAAAGGTTTAAATACAGAGTTCTAGAAGGGAAAGTTAGAGAGTGTGTGCAAGCGCTATACCTTGGTAGCGTGAGCTTTTTGGTTCTTCATTTATTGCTGGTTAAAGTAGTTAATAGCTACTACGTTGCTGCCATTAACAAAAAACATAGCCATTAAACAAAATTTTAAAGTTTTATGGTGCTCTGATTACAACCACGCTATTCTTCTAAACAGTATATGTTCATAAAATGACTATCCTGCTCATATATTCGGCTAATTACCGTATTTATTATATCATATTTTATGATGTAATAAATACGGTAAAGTAATCTGACTTCGACGTGGTTTTAGCTAACAGGAGCATCTGAGCTTTGTTGAATAATTCTATTATTTGTTAATATCTTTGAATTTTTTGTTTAGTTCTTGTTAGTTGCGTTACCACCTGAGCGAGGCGTAGTTTGTTGGCGTCAAGTCGACGCATTGTGAATTTTAAAGAGTTTTAATAAAGGGTTCGTTTAACCCTTTTCCTGTCTGGTTTCTGCACTTACTTCAGCTGACACACCAAAGACTTAACAAGTAGATATAACATCCTCTCTAAAACTTCTGACACCGTTGTTACACTTCAGATTAATTTACCGCATTCATTACATCATAAAAGGTGATATAATAAATACGGTAATTAGCCGAATATATGATCAGGATAGTCATTTTATGAATATATACTGTTTAGAAGAATAGCGTGGTTGTAAACACAGCAGCATAAAACTAAAACATATGTTTCATTATGCATATGTTCATTAAACATATGCCTGGACATATGTTTCATTACAGTTTCTTAACGAAACTTCAGCGGGAAATTACTAAAGATTAAGTGTTTAAAAACTAACTTTAGGTAAGATGAAAAATATAAAAAAGCAAATAGGTTATTTTCTATAAATTGTTTCATCTTTACATATGTATATATTGCATAATGCTTATTTACGCTTCTGATTGCCCTGAATATTCCTTGAATATTTTATAACGTATTTCTCCTATTTATAAGGTATCTTTTAGCATGCCTTCGTAGTGTAGTGGTCAGCACTCTGGGCGCGTATTCCAGAGGTCCATGGTTCGATTCCCGGAGAAGGCGTTGCTCATTTTTCATCTTTCCTGCTTCCAATTAACCTAATGTCTCTACAGTGGTGCCGGAACTAAAAAGGGTGGTGGATGATGATTCTCTACATCCAGGGTTTGAGATTGGGTCCCCTAAACCCCAGCCGCCCTTTCAAAGGGGGTATATACGGTATGTCTTCCTCCTTCTTATCATGCCTTCATAGTGTAGTGGTCAGCACGCTCGGCGAGTATTCCAGAGGTCCGTGGTTTGGATTCCCGGCGAAGGCGTTGCTCATTGCTCATCTTTCCTGCTTCGAATTAACCTATTGTCTCTACAAGTGAAGTGAAGGAATATAATTTCGCTTAAGATTTTGCTGTGGATTTAACAAAGCATCTTTCTGAAAAATGAGTAACTAATGTGAAATCCCAGTATCATCAGATGAATATTATTTAAAACTCAACGATTTTAATTTTTTTTGTCATTTTTCATAATTGCCAATGTTTCACAGTTTTAATTTGTAAAATAAAAATATAATGCATAAATCTTAAAATAAATTGCACACTTTTAGAGAACTCAGCATATTTGCCAAATGTGAGAAACTCTTAAATTCACTGAGATTTAAAGATTAAATTGTAAGAAATTATCTATACTGTCTTGAAGTATAACTATCACCTCATCAAGGTTCAAAATGCGGATTGCTAGAATATACTTCTAATTGCTAGAAAGATGTTTTAACTATTATTTACACCACGGAAGCAGGCACGGAAAATGCAGTAATTCCTTATATAAATACTGGTAAATAATATCCTTTATAGACTTTTATGTTTCTAAGATAAAGGCTTAGGATATATGGCTGTAACTGAAAAAAAAGTAATGCAATTTCAGTATACATTGTGATTTAGTAATCTACCTTAATTTTAGATAAGCTACAGAATTTGTAAACAAAAAGAAATGAATGTGACTAGTTTTAAGACGTTAGAAAAATTATAAAGCTGCATAAATGTCATAACCGAAAAGTCCTCATAATGGAAGAAAATAGTTAGATGTTAGCCTGTTACTTCAATCTCATTAGTCCATTACTGAATCTTAGTGAATTCCAAGTTCTCCTGACGATTATTTTACTCTGAATTCCGGAGAAAAATATAATTCATAAATAACGGAACATTCCAGTTACATACTCATAGCTGAATAAATTTACTCAGTATTCTCTGTTGTTATAAGAGAAATCGTTAGTAAGAAATTTTCAGATCATGGAAGAGAAATTGAAATTTATACAAAAGTCGAAAGCTGCAGAATAGTTGCAGTATACGATGTCAGAAATTTCCTTGTTCTGTTTTTATAATAAATACTGTTTAAAAGTGTTGCTATTGTAAAATAGCTACGTGTGTTATTCATTTCTGCTGTTTTTGAATTAAGAAAGGCTTAAAACGATACATAGTAAAATGGATGCAGTTATCGAACATGGCTAGCTCTTGATTTCAGGTGGCTAAGACAAATTGTTAATATGACTAGCTTCGAAATAAATTACTGAATTATGACAGAAGAAAGAGTTTGGATAGATACAAGAAAATAGTCTGCTACTAACATATTTCTTAGTACTTTTCTGGAGTCAGCATACTATTTTATCCAATAGTTGCTTTAAATTGAGAATTTTAAATCAATCACGCTAAATAATACATTATCAGAAAGTGATTTATGATAGATTATATCGTTTTTGAAATATAAAAATCACGGTTTAAGAAAAGATCTGGTGGCTGAAGAGAACTGAATGTATACGCAGGTTTAAAAATATGCAAATAAAATTAACAAAGAGAAGGGTTAATAAGTTAGAGTCTGCAATTTTTGGTAATAGAATATAAATATTATAAATACTGCATACATATTTTATATACGCAAACAACTTACTTAATCATTTCTACGTTAAACATTCTACCAGGCTTGCTGTTCCAATATTCTTATTATTTTGTTCTCACACAACCCTAAGAGAAAGTAATATACTGCACTAACAGTTAATAAAAACATCTGTCTTTCAGTTATAATAGTTATTGCTCATTTATAGAGCAAAAAATGTGAATATGTTAATCTATTTGCATTATTCAAAGTCTTATTATCTATAATAACAATATATTTCTTTGTAAAATAATTTAAAAATTAACAAAATACGATACATTTTATTTTTTTAACTGGAATGTAGTTGCATTGCCTTAGCTCCCAATTTGTTCATTGGTGATTGAGTTGATTTATTTAGTTTAAACTGGCATCCAGTAGAAGTGCCAAGTCTATTTTATTCGACTGCATTTAAATGTTGATGGCTTTCGAATGGACGTGTTTCATAATTTAAAGTAGTGCATTTTCTTCGCTTTTTATGTCGCTTAAATCGTGATGGCCATCCGGTGACCATAATTTGCCGTGAAATTGTTTCCTACCAGCCGAAGTGAAGTTAATTAAATTTGTTGTTATGAATCGAATTTCTATATTTGTATATTGTAAATTTCTATAAATATTTATGTGCTTTTAACTACAATAATATTTTGTGAATAGTTATAATGTTTTTGTATTTTTTGTTTAGTTCATATTTTATTTGTTACTTTTTTAGTTTGCTATTTCAGGATGTGTTTTTACTTCCTTGTACGAAGTAAAAAGGAAGCATTGTAATTCCGAAAAATTTCGGGTATCATATTTCAACCAAAATATCCATTTCGACGGCTATCGAATGCAATTTAACGATGTTTTTGCGTGACATCTGAATGTATAGACAGATTAAAGGACCCTTTTCCATTAAAAAAATTATAAAATGAGATTTAAAATGAATTCTGAAGAGAATTTTTCGTGGCGTCTGTGAGTAGTACGTACGTACGTATCTCGTGTACGTATACGTATCTCGCATAACTCAAAAACGAGTAGCATCAGAACGCTGAAATTTTTTATATAGGATTGATATAACATGTAAACCTCCTATTGGTTGAATCGGCCGCACCAAAAGCATATATATATATATATCTACTCTGCATCGGCTCGGTGATTCAGTTTTTTCTTCTATGTTTATAAATTGTAAATTTTACTTTAAAAATGATTGAGTTATGTGTTCATATCTTCCGGTTAGGTTTTTATGCCTTAGTAAATCTGCATGAAATATTTGTAGTAGAATCAGGTGAAATTTAAATCAAGTGTGTTTAAATGCGGCTAAGCCTTAATATTTATCATGGCGGCTTTACTGCGGAACTCATGCTTAATCCATTCTATTTATTTTATATAGCTTTTAATATAGATATTTTGAGTTTTTATGTATTATGCCTTGTGCCTTGTTGTGTACTTAAATTTGTAGTAATCATTTTTATATAAATGCTTATTTCTCGCGTTCAATTGCAGATATTTTTAAATTCTGAATTCATTAACTTTAAAGCTATGAAAACAGATCATCTAAAATGCAAGTATAGTCAAAAACGTTGATAGTGGGCCTTGGCGGCAACTTTCGTTCTGCCAAATTTTTAAGGTTGACAACGTTTTGCCAATGTAGAGATTTTTTTGCAGGTTCCGGGAAAGCTCGTTTTTTAAAGCTCTAGCAGAGATTTTTCCTGAAGCTTCCGAAAGCTTGTGCAACGCCATATAATATATTTCTTCGAGCATTTTTCCTTCTAGCATTTTGGTGGGTGCCAAGTTCTGAAACTTAAAAAAATATTTGCATATTGCATTATTATTTATCAATCTTCCCTAAATTTTAAAATGGATCCGTCATATGTTGATGGCTTTGTTCTGACTAGGAAAGAATAACCCTCCCAAATAACCTGAAGATCACGCCGAAATTTTCCCTTCTAAATATTAAAGTTTATGCCTATCTAATAGAAGACCAACACATCACAGCGAAGCAAACACGAACTGACATTCAGTTTACGATTTCGCTGAGTTTGCTTCACACCCACCTTCTTTAATTATGTATAGAAGGCTTGAGGCCTAAGGAGTAAAAAAAAAATAAAAATAAATAAAACTATAAGAAAGGGCGGAGGTCAAGTGTCAAGGAAGTAGAAAGGAAGATCTCTTATTAGATATTGTAATGCTAATATTACATTATCTAATAAAATATCTTCATTTTTACTGTAAGGACATTAAGTTTTACTAACGTTTATTTTATTTTAAATCTTTACTATCACTTCTTATTTTCTACTTCCGGCCAGAATTATAAGCGTTAATGTTTTTATGCAAAGTTTGTCTGGCGAACGCCAAGTACTTAAGTTGTGGCTTTTTGCCAAGCGAGAGAGAGGAAGCAGTGAGTCGAAGCAGGCCGCTTACCTTAGAAGTTTTACGCAGTTGCTGGTTGCCTTCCAGGCCAGAGGTTTTAATCCTCTTGATAAATTTTAAACGTATTGTAGTGTTCACAGTTCTCTGTACTACATACGGCTTCCTGTTAATATAAGGCCAATCTTCCACGTTTATTATTTTAAAGTTAAATTAGAGTTTAGTTCTATTTTTATATTTTTACGTTAGACCCCAAGTAGCGGGTCTGTGTATTCCGAAGTACGGAAGTTATTGTAAATAGAGAAAAATAAAGGGTTTTGTATACCCTTCTTGTGTATCCTGTTTACTTCCCACAGTTTTGAACATAGCTTTAGTAAGCTCTCTGTTCCGAGTCAGGTTCTTGCATGTTCCCGAAGAAGGTTAGACGGAACATTGAACCTGATACTACTACTATGCTGTCTTATTGGAATTTATGTTCCTTTTAAAGAAATAGTTACCAGAATTTATGTTCCTTTTAAAGAAATAGTTACCAGAATTTATGTTCCTTTTAAAGAAATAGTTACCAGAATTTATGTTCCTTTTAAAGAAATAGTTTGTGATAGTTACTAGAAGGTTGTTTATTACTACTTTTCATCTGCTACGTTCTTACTTCAACCGCGTGTCCTTCGGAAATTAAATTTTTCACATAATTTACTCCTCTCAATTTTCAGCTAGTAAAATTAGTAAATAAATTAGGAAATATACTGGAAATACGGTCATCGTGGTTTAGATGGGATAATTGCTCCTTCACGTAATTTCACGGTAAATAAGATTTACAGTCAACAGTAATTATTTTTACAAGCTTTTGTGTAGTTCACTTGTGATGTTTCACAATTTTTGTGTAGTTCACTTGTGATTCACTTGTTCACTTGTGATGTGGAGCTATCAATTTCTCACGTAATTCCTGATAAGCTATCGAATTCAAATTTTGTAAACACACACTGTTTACACATTGTTGGTGGACAATTGCAATGTAGTAAAGTGATTTTTTCAAAATTCTATTGAGAGTTTTAGTCCAAAGGGGCAATTTGCTCTGAAGGACTATTAATTTCGGTTTGGCATTTTGCGTCGAAAACTTTAAAAAGCTGTCTTTAAAAAGCTGTATACCTTTTTGCAATATTGCTGTTGAATTGAATTTTATAGTTTAAGTACTTAGAACATGATATTTAATAATAAGAAATCTATTAACTGAAATTTGTTCAAAAATTGTAGCTTAATTTTTGAATTGTGAACGAATTTTCAAAACTCGCTAGTTTTTTTTAACATCTTTGATTCACCATCCAAAAATATATCGGATATAAGTTCTGAAATTTTCACAGATTTTGAAACATTTAGACTTTTTCTAAATCAAGAACGATAAAAAAATATTAAATGGGTGGTTTTCTTTATTATTTAAAATGCGTGTTGCAAGCTGAAATAGATGGGAGAAGAAAAACATTTCTTGCGGAAAAATTGCTTTCGAGTTTGCCATTCTTGGTGCACTTAATGATGAACGACTATATTGTTTTTTTTTTTTTTTTTTTTTTTTTTTTTTTTTCATTTTAAATTCAAGTAAAATGCTTTTTTATGTTGCTAGTACATCCAATTTCCGAAACTGAATATTCAAAACGATTTCGTCCTCCTTTGAATGAAGTGCAGCTATTTTCCTTTATTTCATAATTTTCTTCTAATTTATCACTTGTGTTTCAACAATGACTACAACTTTCATCATTGATAACGTGTAATTGACTCTAAAACACAGAAAATAAAATAGAATTTAAAAAATTGGTTTTTCGCCAAAAAGCTTTTATTTAAAATGAATCTGATAATTAATGTACTTAAAAGGAGAAAAATCTTTTATCATATAGTTTATTGGGAGTAATAGATAAAATAATTCTATGTAAAAAATTGCTCTACAATTTTATTTACGAATTATAAAAGCGTGGGGAACCTATGGTAAATTTAAAGAGATAATGGCTTATACATTTAACAGTGGAATTAAATTAATAGACTTCGACATTTAGGTGCCTTCCGCTTTATTTATTCAAGATATAAAATTGTAGATGAATTCTATAAATGTTCTATAAATGAATTATTTAATCTATTATTCCCATTGACCATTATTTTAGCACATTAGTTATCATATCCATTTTAATTAAAAGCTTTCTGTAAAAAATCATTTCTTATTCTACTTTATTTTTTATTCAGCTCTGACAACCTGCGGTTTAGAAAGAATTAGCAAAATTACGTTTCAGAGTCCACTCTGAGTTATATCGGTAATTATCTCGTGGGTTATTTGGTACTATTTCTCGTGGGTTAGGATTTGCCTATTATCTGTATCTTGAGTTACTTACAGCTACTTAACTTGCTGTGTATAACTACCAATTACAATAAATTGTGAGTTTCTTTCCTCTTCTCTAGAATGATCGTTTAGGGAGATATCCACGAACCCATAGCTCTGAAAAATGTATAAGGTATTTATCTTAATTAACCCATTATTTTATTTTGAGAATCTTTACTGTCACTTCCCCTTTTCCGTTTTTCTGTCGAATGCAAATTTTAGCTCGCAGATTTTTAAGTGAGGGTTTGGGATTATTTTAATTAGAGCGTATTACGCCTGCTGAAAGCCACGTTAATGGTTGATTTCCTAGATGGCATTCCTGTTTACGGCGTTGCTATATTCTTGAATATAGTGCTATCACGTTGGTGTAAGTTAGAGCCAACTTGCAAGTTTAAATATCTCTGAGTAGCCTTACGTTAAATAAGGTACAGAATTCCTTTTAATTTAAAACTCTACTGTCGATTTTACGCCGTAATTACTGGCTAGTTTTGTAAGCACCAGGAACACCTTGTATTCTGCTTATTTGAGTTCTTAATAAAGGGGTTTTTACACCCTAGGTAAGTTATTCTAGATACAGCGATAAGTAGCTTATACATCTATTAAAGGATGTGCCACAAGTTACATTTATTTACCGACACAGTTTCTACAAATGCATATACACCTACTCATTTTAGGACAACATTCATATAAACACTATTTTAAATGAATACCACAATTATTTAAGTAATAATTTTCAGTATTTTAAGACTTATTTATAACTATTTGCTAACTACGTGGCGTGTTTCCTTAACATCTGGCTTAAATTAGCTCTCGAGTATAAATAATTTAACATCACTGATTTAAAAGAAGTACAGTAAGACCCCGCTTAACGCTGTTCGTTTAGCGCTGTTTCGGTTTAGCGCTCTTTTATTTCAACCCGGGGATTCCACGAAATCGTTCGCAGCATACGGGGATTCCCCGAAATATTATGCAGCGATAGGTTTCAAATACATATCCGAAAGAGTGTACTTGTATTTCTTGTTTGGTGCGGTATTGTACAGACATATTTTGAAGGGGTAAATGTGGAAGATGTCGAAGAAATAATTCAAGAAAGCAGCGGCTAGTCTTTCTAATGATGAGCTCAAGGAATTAAACTGAACAAGAAGAAAAAAACAAAAATGTTGACAGCAGTGATTCAGAAGAAGAGCAAAAAGAACTTTCGATGGCGTTTGTAAAAAGGAGTTTGTCTACCATAACTGAAATAATGGATCAATTCATTGAAAATGATCCGAATTTTGACAGGAGCTCAAAAGTAAGGCGTGGTGTTAGAGATGCTCTATCCGTTTATGAAGAACTTTTAAGAGAACAACGCAAAAGAAAAAGGCAAACAACATTAGATGCTTTTGTCACAAAAAGGCAGAACACTGAAAACGCGGAAGGCTAACTAAATATGACTGACTGAGAATTTTATTTGTTTTTTTTTTTAAGAATATTCGTTTTGTTATTTATATTTTGTTTTTATTTTTGCAAGAAATAATAATGTGGTGTTAATTTGGGCTTTAAGAAATAAATGTTTGGTTTTATTTTTATTAAAAAAAACATACTTTTTAAATTTAATACCTAACCAATTTCCTAGCCATCTTCCCCTAACCCCAATATTTACATGTAAAGATAGCCTCGTTTAGCTCTGTTTCGCATTACGCTCTACTTTGATGGAACGTATCGCCCGCGTTAAGCGGGGTCTTACTGTATTTAATTTAAATGTTTGCCAAACTGATTTCTCTACTATATGGATGAAGACAATAAGAAAACTGAGCATTATTGTAACATTTGTGATTCTGATGTTTTCTAATTCATCAACTTTGGAACATAGAGTAATTTTGTATATTTTTAAGACACAGTATTTTTATTAGTGTTTGAATTTCAGGCTAGTTTTATTACACTACGCTTTCCAAAACTTCTTGTACTCTAGATTTATATTGGCATTCTTATAATATACTTTTAGCAACAGGAATTCTTTCATCACTATGTAGCACTCGTTATATTTGTGAATACTAGACGGGAGTTATGGTGGTGGCATTTGCATTAGCTTTTGACGCGATCGAATGTATGCAGCACAGACTTCGACAAATAAGATCAGCAGAAGAAAGACTCAGGGTTGCTTTAAGACTGTTTTCTAAATTATTCTGCATTGTTTAGTATCTTTTATGTTCGTTTTAGAGTATATGCCAAAATTCCAACCTTTTATTTTCGTAGTTTATAGATGCTTGAAATATTGAAACACTGTTTATTAATAATTGCTCTGTTTTTTGACTGCAATGATCAAATTAAACAATTTACCTTATAATTTCCGATTAATGTTCAATCTATCTAGTGATTACAATACTTTAATATTCAATATTTATTCTCATAAAATAGCATTCTAGAATATAGCTGAAAAGTAATCAGTATGCACTGTAAAACGAAAAATAAACCTGCAAAATAGGGATCAAAAATGCTTGAATTTCTACAGACAAAATTTACTACTGTGCATAGATGAAATTACTTGTACGTACGTACGGGTTCTCTATCAACTACATAATTTTGAAAACTTCAAGAATATAACTTTGCAAGGATTACTGTAATTTCCTAATAGTTATTTTTAATTTTGAAAACCTTTCCTAACTCCTATTTTCCACCTACAGCTCCCTGGCAGAAGGAGATTTCAATATCCCGTTTTACGTAAGTGAAGTAGAACAGGTACTTTTAATGGGAAGTTCCAAGTCACTTTAATAGAAGAGATCAGAAGTCCTCATTAGAGCATGTTTTGCCTTCACATCATTGTTTTAAGTCTATCTTACTACGTACTGTCGTAGTCTTACGTGCCTGTTAGTATTTAGCCGTTGAGGTTTAATTATGAGCCAATTCGGTTAGTTACCCTTGTACAGCTTCGGCTAAAGTTTAGCTAGCTAGAATTAGTTTAGTTCCTTATTTTTTATCTAAAGTTAAAGCCCAACTGTAGGTTTTCCTGAAAGCCAGAGAGGGGCTGTCTGTTAGCTTTTCTTTGAGTGAATGAAGAGTATTTTAACCCTTCCTTAGACTTATATTTTATAGTTGTAATAAGAGCAGCAAATAGTCGCTAGACACTTTGCTAAAGTTCCAGTAGCCAAGGACACCTAAATTAACTAAGACTTTCTAACTTTATTCTACAGACTCCCGCTTTCTCATATAATTACCTCTAAGAATCTACTCGCAAATTCTCATATAATTACTTCTAAGAATTACTCGCAAATCATATAAATCTAAGAATCTACTCGCAAATTCTCATATAATTACCAAATTTTCATATAATTACCTCCAAGAATCTACTCGCAAATTCTCATATAATTACCTCTCATATAATTACCAAATTCTTATATAATGACCTCTAAGATCTCTTACTAGCAAAATCGTGTCCATAAACATCTTTCCTTTAAGAGCTATCGGCAACCCCTATACCGACAGTGTTAAATTGGTCATTTTCGATGTACCTTTTCTCAAAATTTGCTGTAGATACACGCTTGAAATTTTTGTGTAATTAAAGTATACATATGAAATGAGCTTTTGAAACATTTTGAATTTTAGAGTAATTTACAGAATATTTCGTTAGACATAGTAAAATTTAGCACTTTTCTCTCACACACACAAAAAAAAATTTTAAAGTTTATCACAAAAGGATCATTTCCGTAAATATTAGGAAACTTAATAAATAAGCTATAAAAATGCTAGGTACCTGGGAGGAGTAGTTCCTAAGAAAAGGTATATCGAGTATAAAAAAATCACGTTTGGAGAAAAACGCGTTTTTATGTAAAAATCCTCATTGTTCAAATCGGTCGATGACAAATTAAAACTAGATTTTTTACAGTTATAATTTTCATAGAGATTAAAGAATGGTATTTTTAGAAAGATAAAAGTGTAGAGAATTTGAAAATGCAAAAGTCCGAAATCACATTTTTTATAAGATTTTGCGGTTCCAACACTATTTAAATTTCTACATTTAATTTGAACTGCAAAATTCTACTTACATCTGCTAAATGCATAAAAAATTATATAACAATAATTTAGTATGATACAAAACGTACAATAATTAATAAAATATTGCTTACAATATATTCAAATAAGTATTTATGTAATTGATAGTGAGTTTCATGATATTATTGCGAAAATGCTCACCTGCCTGACCAGATGACTGCAATTCAACTGTCATTTGGAGCACAAGACTCTTTTCATAACTGGGGTATACTAATGCAGCTAAATTATCTGATTGTTAAGGAAGGTAATTGCCGTGATATTTCACGCAATTGGAAAACGTACTCAAATTTTTAAAATATAATATAACAGTCATTACAACAAAATAACACTGTTACATATTAATACAAAGTTATTAACAAGATTATTTATTTTCAACTGTCATGATGCCACTTTTTAAGAATATATTTATCTAAATTACTGTTTTCGTACAGTAAATTATGATAAAATTTTCAGAAACATGTGATTGCTATTCATTTTATTATTTAAAACATAATAGAAATATATGTATTAATATATTGGTTGGTGATTAATATATTGGTTGATAGATTGGTGATTACGATCTGTATTGGCATTATAATGCCTATGCATTTATAGAAAACATTTTATTTCATCTTTAAATACGCTGGCTCGGTAATCTACTTTCGTGTATTTTAATTTTTGCATAGTAAAAAATTAATTAAAATATAAATACATCACTATATTATTCAGAGTATAAAACTGTGTTTGTAAACGCGAGGTATTTACATAATTTGTATTTTTTTTTGTATCAGTTTTATTATATTTTTCAATGAAAGTGTATAAAGTTACTGCAATAATAATCGAAGTTATTTATTTCATGCGCATGCATTCTAAGAGGTGAGGTTAAAACTGCTAATTTTATATTCACCGTCGCTGAAACAGTTCTGAACTTTTTCCTCTTCTCCGGATTTGGTGACATATGTACTCGGATTGGAAAGACCAAGCAGCGATAAGTCATCGCAGGACTCAGCAGTATCCGTATAAAAGGCTGAAGGAAAGAAAAGTATATATTTTACGAATATTTTGCGCATATGAGAAAAATAGAATTGCATTTACATTTTGGCGTATCTTCATAATGCAAAATGTTAAAAATAAAAGTATGTTTAGAAGACAAATAATGAGATTTAGATTTTTCCCAATAATTGGTTACTTTTTTTTTTTTTTTTTTTGTTTTTTTTTTTTTTTTTTTTTTTTTTTTTTTTTTGTTTTTTTTTTTTTTTTTTTTTTTTTTTTGTTTTTTTTTTTTTTTTTTTTTGTTTTTTTTTTTTTTTTTATAATGCTACACATATTTTTCAGAAGTACACATAGATTTCTGAATAGAAGTATATAAATTTCAGTATATTCAGTTGTAGAGTTCCTCATTTTGTAGATGCTAAGACACAGTTAAACGTGAAAAATCTTAAGAACTGATAAGCGAATAATCGCTTGAGCTCGTGTGACAAGAAACAACTAGATGGAAGGGTAAATAACCCTTTATTATGCAAATAAGATATAACAGAACTCCGTCTTGGAGTGTACAATAAAAGCCGACATTTGGGCTTGAACATAAGAGGCTAAGAAGTAAACTATAACTAATCTAAACTAAAAGAGATAAGCCGAAGCTATCAAAGTTTTAATGGAGTTGGCCCTTTAAACACGAGATGATCGCGAAGCTATCAAGGGCCTGAGTACGACCGAGCGTAATAGCAGCTTTGAGAGAGAGTAGCCAAAAAAGCGGTCGCGCCGCTAATCAGAAACTCAGATTCTCTCTAACTCAGCAAGTAGAACTTCGTGGTTAAAAACCGCTCTTCCTCATTATGTATTCAGATGTGATTCTAAAACTACGTTCTGGCCGGAAGTAGTAAGTTGAAGTTAAGAATTCAACAGGAAAGAAGTTTAACTCAAAATGTAACTGTTAATAAAATTAACATAATTCTTACAGTGTATTAGTTAAATAGAAATATAGTTACATTTCAGACATTAAGAAATCTTCTATTAATTATTGCTGGCGCTTAATTTCACTTTTAAATTTAATTTGACTAAACCTATCCTGAAAGCCATCTTCAATCGATGAATTTGATTTCCTTGAAGACTTTCACATTTCTAAACACTAACAAATTTAAGTGATGACTTATGAGCAATCCACTCTTTTCTAAAGCTCTAAAAGGCCTTATCTCATTCCTATTTTATCTTTACAGTTTTATTTTGTTCAGTAGATGGCATTGCAGTTATTACTTATCCTCTGTCGTTTTATTTAACGGGCTTAAGTGAAAGAGGCTTAATTTCTTCATCGTTATTACTGGGCCAAACTTTACTACATTAAAATTGATGCCCTACATAAAGATCTGAAAATTTCCTACTATTCATTTATTAACGCGAAAACTATAAAAATTCTTCAGTGAAACCCTTTTAAGTAATTTGCTTAACAGACAATTTGAGTGCCCGCCATTAGAAAATCAAGATTGTGGGAAAAGACTCATACAGCAGGAGAACCCTATGCAACTCATAACGTATTTAAATCTATTACGAGATCAGAATCATTTTTTCTCCTTTGTTTTCTGCCGTGATGCTAAGTTTACTGTAACTTTTCTCTCAAAGTCCCGTGTTTCATTAACCACAAGTTCTTACATAAATATTCTAATCACGTTTTTTTGCAATTACACCACAATATTGTATTTCGTGAACTTCATTTATTTAGCAGCATGGTAGTAGTTATGCTAATATGTTTCATTGAACAAAAAATAATTTAACTATAAAGGCATGGCAAACGAAATATAAATCCCACTCTATTAATTTTATTCGTTTCGTATATTTAATTACGGCAAAGCACACTAGGGCTACCTGCCTAAGAGAAGAGATGCCTTCGTTAATGACTTTCTAAGGCAAACTGACTCGTATACACGTTATAGATGGGGAAAACCACGAAAACGCCCATGCAGCCAGCCCGTTCGCGGGATTCGAACCTCGGACCTAACTACCAGTGTTCAGCGACTTTTACGGCTCCTTCGCTGGTGGGCTTAATTTTATTTCAGAAAAAGTTGTTTCTTTGCATTCCGAACTCTACTAAAACGAAAATTAGGATTGTATTTTTTAGTTATTACCTTTTCATATAAGCAGAAATAAGTTAATTTTTTAGTCATTACCTTTTCGTATAAGCAGAAATAAGTTAATTTTTTAGTTATTACCTTTTCGTATAAGCAGAAATAAGTTAATTTTTTAGTTATTACCTTTTCGTATAAGCAGAAATAAGTTAATTTTTTAGTTATTACCTTTTCGTATAAGCAGAAATTAGTTAATTTTTTAGTTATTTACCTTTTCGTATAAGCAGAAATAAGTTAAAAAACTTACTTAGATTGTAAATTGTGACAAAGTTTTTATTTCCACAATGCTGATTCTGGCAGTTTCCATTACATTCAAGACGAGCTGCTATCTCGAGCTTGTTCATGTTGTCTGGCTGTAAACAGAAGCATTTGTCAGGAACTGATCCAGCCAGTGGGAAACCAAGTCCTCTGCAATGCTCTAAGCACTCTGTAACACTGATGCCTTTCTTTTCAAAAATTTGGTGGGTAGGAGGTTGACCTTTGAAGCAGTTCATGGAACCATCTGAAATTGTAATAAGTACTGATATCTAATTCAAAAATATATAGAATACTCCGACCACTTTTTGAATAAACAGCTTGAAAACTACAGTTTTTGAATCTTTATATACTGAGATTGATTTGCATTAAAAACTATGCATTGCAGTTAAAGGATAACGATATGTATTTCCTGTCAATTCTAAGAACTTACTGTCCTTTTAAACCTGAAATGAAAATTAGAAATCTTATTATATTATATTAACCTCTGATGCAAATATGAGGTCTGAGGCTTTACTTTTATTTATAATTTTATTTGTATATCGCTTTAGAATTTGATACATAATTATTGTTAAATTAAAAAGAACTTTCTAGATTCCAGAATTGTAAATAAAAATCTGTGAAAGGAAAGCGATTTCAGCTGTGTTAGAAATTTTTGAGATTTAAACGATTTCACCAGTGTTAGAAATCTATGAGGTTTAATAAATATCTTAATCATAAATCACAAGGTAGTGCTAAAAATAAGATTGAAGAGGTATAGCTTCTACAAGCCGGCAAACATCAGCCCATCTTCTACTTTAGTTATTTGCAAAAAGGAATCATATTACCAAGTTGACATGTCAACACGGAATCATTCTTGTAGTTACAGTTTTCCAGGTCATAATTCTAATACAGCTTTAAGTTTCAATATATCAGTTGTAGATAAATGGTCAAAGTACTTAACAGTAAGATTATAAATCACATTATAGAAATATATGGGAAGCTGTTGTTTTTGTTGATTGTTGACAGAAGACAAGGGCATCATGTAGAACAAACCTTAAAAACACCTTCCCAAAGTTGAAAATGAGCGGCATTTTTCACCAGCTTAGAATAGATGTTATTGGATTCTAGTTAAATTTAAAATTACTTGAAGCTAGAACTTACTAGCACTGTGAAGCTACTATTCGCTAAGTTCTATTGCATCGGTAACAACTCAAGAATAAGGGTTACAGAACCTTTTATTCACTTAAGAACAGTTAATAATAGGCACTTCTCATGCTTAAAAATAACTCGCCAATACTTTTGACGGTAACTCAGAAATAGAAAGTAAAATTCGGGGATAGTCCATAAGTTCGTGCGCATTAAGAGTATGCGTGAAATTCACTATGACGCATTTACTAAAACAATACAATTTTGAACCTGTTGAAACTTGCCATCGTTTGACTAACATATTATTCAGTTCATCACCAACTTTCGTAAATATGGAACGCATTGTAGATATAGATAGAAGATGGATATAGATAATCTGCACAAACGTGCTGTGCTACACTTTTTATTTTCGTGTGGTCAATCTGCCAGGTTTGCAGCGATAAAAATTATAGTGTACATGGTGAACACACTATTAGTGTAAGGACTGTTCAAAAATTGCTTAAAAATTTTTAAGTTGGAAAAAGCAGCATTGATGATGAACGCCGTTCAGTTCGTTTTGAATTGTTAGAACCAAATCAAACGATTCATTAAGAAGTTTATAGTTAACAATTTTGCCGTCTAAACTCAGAATTGATCAATAAACGCCCACGATTGGTGAATATCAAGAAAATGTTGTTTCATCGTGATAACGCTAGACCACATACGGCTCGAACAACACTACAAAAAATTAGTGAATTTAATTGGAAGCTTTTGCCACATCCTGCGTACTTCCCAGATATTGCCCCAAGTGATTTTCACTTATTTCGTGCCTTAACTGTTTTACTGGGAAAAAATTAAATTCTAAACAGGATCTACACAATGAACTTTCAAGTTTTTTTTTTGCATCAAAACTATAGTCTTTCTACAGCAATGGCATAAAAAAGCTACCTGTAAGATTGCGAGTCATTGTAGATATTGGAGGAAAAGATATAATTGATTAAAATGTTAAATTGTGTTTTTTTATATTACTTAAAAATTTACCAAAAAATGCGCACGAATTTATGGACTGACTCAATAGATCTAAATTGAATAAATTGAGCCTAAAATGCACAGAGCTATTTAATAAGCAGCTGGCTCTTAGCTAATAGAACTGACGTAGATTAACCGACAATTAATATGCACGGCCGTAAAATATCAAGCTTAAATAACAGCGAAACAACGTGGCTTAAAGGCAGGAACATGCTCTGCCTGAAGTAAGTCTGACGTCAACTTAAATAGTAGCTTGCTGCTCTACTTTGCTTAACCCGCGAGACTGAAATCTCATTCTGACATGGGTTGGAAAACGAGAATTTAAAGGAAAGGCTGTTTCCAAAATAAAATAAAGTCCCACAACGTAAAGATGCCAAAATAATATTTCGCTAGCTTATTCAATTTTAAGTCTAAAATTTTTAGTTCTAAGTCTAGTTCAATTCTTTTAAGTTTTAATACTTTTAAGTCTTGTTCAATTTTAAGTCTTTTAAGTGTCATTTACTTTCTGTCAACTATTTGACCGTAGTAAGCCGACAAAACTCCTTTTTCGAAAGTTGTGGTTAATAAATGGAATCACAATTGACCCAATCATGCATTTCTTTCTTCGTGTCATTCATGTCTGTGACATTAGGTTGAAGTCTGTACTTCAAGAAATTCCATCTATCTTTTACTTGCTGGCATCGTCGTTTCAGCTACACATCTTTAAATGTATGTTGCTCAAGCAGAAAAGGGTATACTGGAGATCTGCTATCACAAATGGCATAACAAGATGCAATTAACTGTTGGGTTGGCAAGAAAGTAATTTCGGTTTGCACAATGGAATAACGTTATGTCCGTTTTGTTATTCTTCTTTGAGTCTTATAATTTTTTTCTTTTGAGATTTGGCAGCTGAAACTTTTAGGTTGCTGTAGAAATAAATTCCCTGCATTTTTATTTACAACTGTTAGTTTACGGCTAATTTTATCAGGAGCTGCAAAAATAAACATTTCCGACATATTTTACTTTTTTATTATCTTAAAGTCAAAATAAGGTGAAGCTCACAAACAGATATATGAAGTTTATGGTGTTGGTTGTTTAATAGAACATATGTGTCAGAATAGGTTTAAAACATTTCATTTTGGAGATTTTTCATTTGAAGATCACCAGAATTCTTGTCGACCTTTTGAAGCTGATGATGACAAAATTAAAGCCATAATTGAATTGAATCGTCAATTAACTGTGCGAGAGATAGTAAAGAGGTTAATGCATCACACATACAATTGAAAATTACTTAATATGTCTCGGATTGTCAAGAAGCTCCATATCTGAGTTCCGTGTGCATTGATAGAAATTCCCTTAACACAATAAAACAATATTTGCAGTACGCATTTCAAAAATAATAACATAGACCATTTTTTTCTTTGAAACAAATTATTTCTGGTGATGAAAAATAGATCTTCTATAATAACATTAATCGAAAATGATCATGATCAACGCAGGATCAATCAGCTGAAATCATATCGAAAGCTAAATTGCATTAGAAAAAGATCATGCTGTCGATTTGGTGGGATTACAAAGGTGTTATATATTTTAAGCCGCTTCCAAGCAACCAAATGGTAAATTTAGTTACTGCCAATAACTTATAAAATTTCAGGCATTCAAAGAGAAAAGGCCGGAATCCGCTAATCGAAAACTAATCGTGTCCCACCGCAACAAAGCCAGGCCTCACGCATCTTTAGCAACACGTACAGAACTACATGTACAAAATTATCCATATAGCCCGGATATTGTACCATCGGATTATCATTTATTTCTAAGTTTATTAAACTTTTTAAATGGCAAAAATTTCAGTAATAACGATGACCTCAAATCCCACTTGATTGAGGTTTTTGTTGATAAAGACTAGACGTTCTATGAGCGCGGGGTTATGAAGTTACCAGAAAGAAGGCAAAAAGTCATCGAACAGAATGGAAGATATTTGACCGATTAAAATTTGATTTTGTTTAGAAAAAAACGTGTTTAGTTTCACAGTAAAAAACCGAAATTATTTTCTTGTCAATCCGATATTACATGTATTAAATTTGCTTTATATATTGACTTGTTTCACATATATTTTATTTTCCAAGTTCTTCCAATCTTTTGTTAGATATAATGACATTTTTAATGCATTTAAAAACCTGTCTAAACTAAATTTACAGAAAGTATTAAATTAAAGTTTCGTAACAGAAAACTTACTAATTATACTGATTTTTGGATATGAATTTAAGGAAAGATAACCACTCACTTTCCTCCAGATCTTTCCTGCATATAAAAAGAGCCCTGTTGCTGCATATTTCATCTCTCCACTTGTAACCGTTGCTGCCATCAAGTAGTGTGCACCTTTCATAGACAGAGTTGGGCTGAGTAGGCATCCAATTACGGAAACTAGATACACTTCCATCAATCCATCTGTAGGCTTTGTTGTCAGTCGGATCATACTGGTACAAGCCAATCAACCATCGAACACGGGAAAAGGAGGAGCCCATACCTTGAATGGTCTGCCAAAGGAATTTTGTCGTTTAAATATTATTAACAGTAACAAGGAAAACTGAGAAGTACCTACGGGTTCCCAGTTTTAGGAAATGACATATACTGTGGTACCTCACCCCCCCCCCCCCGCGGTCGACGTAGAGAACTCTGCGAAGCTACTAGCTAGGTCTGTACCTAGGCAGTCTCAGCCACGAGGGTATAAAATCACGAACCTGGCGCTTTCAGAACCCGGAGTTGGTTCGTTTATACGGCTTGACCTCGGTGGTTACCTGAAGGTTCTGTAGCTTGGTGTGGGACGGCACCAAGTTTGCTAGGTAATGTCCTGACGGGACGCGCTGCCCGTGCAGTACTGGCGGGAGCATTTAAACGACCAGTCAGTCCATGAAGTTTTTCAAGCCTCGCCTCCGCCGAAAAGCCGAGAACAGGGAGTGGTGACCCCTCGGGCCCGGCCTAATAAGCGGAGGGTATTTGGTACCTCGGTAATCCATCCGCTATGAAATATATCAAACTTGGTTTACGTCCTGTTTGGACGTGAAGATGTTTGTTTGCTTCAGGACCTTTCTTTGGAATACGACTCGAGTTCGATGAATGACGCAGGCCGCACTGATCTAGTTTATCTCTTTTGAAACAATGCCTACGACTGGCCACGAGCTTCGCAGCATTGTCTTGAACGGCTACTACTAGAATTGTCCTATTGCTGCTTCAGTAAACAATCTGCATTATAATTTGCGTCCAGAATTTTTACATGATTTTCTGTTTTTTAGTATATATCTTTTTAAATACACTTATAATGCATTCTAAAAAAGTTCATGGTAAGTGCCAAAGAAGGAAAAAATTGGTTAGGATCACCATGAAGATAAGTACGAAGAGGGCATGCGTATCCGAGATTTGGCTATTGCATACCATACGGCGAGAACGACGATATCTATGGTTGCCAAAAAACAAAGAAATTATTAAATAGGCCAATATTTTGCAAAGGAGTAAAATCGATCGTCACAGACATTGGGGCATGTTGAGAAATTACTTTTAATCCTCATAACAGAAAAACATTTATGAGCAGTATTTCATTTATGTATGGTATATTTTTCATCCATTGTACTTGTATTTTAATGTTAAACAGTGCTATAACAATAGGATCTGTTTTATAAGAACGGATTAATTATTTTTCCTTAATTTCTTATTGGGAAAGTTTCTTTGATATACGTCCTGGGATCTGAAACAGATTAGTGAAGTATTCACTCTGTATTCAGAGTATTTTAGCAGTTTGAACTCGTGCATCTAAAATATTGCTGCCTTCAGAATTAAATCAATGCATTAGGCACCGTTTGATTCTTTAACTAACTGTGATGGCATTCATTACTCGTATAAGAATAAAATTAGAAAAAAAAAAGAAATATTATACAGTATTTATACGTTTGCATTCTGATAATGCTACTAATAATATAGCAGCCCGTCATAATCTCTGAGTTGCTTTAAAAGATTTAATCCGTAACAGAGGACGTGCGGTCTGACGGACCGCTCCACATGTTCCTCCCATCACCCCTATTGCATGCTTTGTCCAAGTGAATGGATTCTTTCCCTAGCTTCACGTTTCGTGACCTTCTTTCTGACCCCTTCTTATCGGAATGCTTTGGCAAGTGTATCTGTTGAAATTCTTCTAGAGCGGTCTGTGAGACCTCACCTCCCTCTCAGTGTTACAATTTTGGCAGTAGTGAACACATGGCTCTGAAGTTAGGTCCTAGGAGATTCATTTATCCTTCTGATTCACGTTATGCAGAAGAACTGAAAAAAATTCTAGACGAAGTTGGAAGTGATTTTAGTGAAGAAGGTGACTGTGAAGAAAATTTCTGCGAAAGTGCCCACTCAAGGCAGACTCAGGGGTTTTGATGTCAAACATTGCAATCATTTCTCTGATCTAGAAAACAGACTCGGAATTCACGTAAGAATACTGCTATGGAAATAATTGGTTTTTATAACAGAACCAAAGGTGGTGTTAATGCTTTAGATGAAAAATGTTCTGTCCATTCCTGTAGTAGGAGAACAACGCGTTGGCCTATGGCTCTTTTCTACCGGTTAGTAGATATGAGTACAGTAAACGCATACATTTTGCACCAAGGTTATAACCAAAACCCTGTTATGACCAGAATGGTGTTTTTCGAAAGAATTAGCGAGAGAATAAGTCCAACCACTTCTACACACGAGAGAGTGAAAAATACAAAAAAAAATCGAGAATTGCCTGACGATAAAGCGGATTTTAGGAAAAGAAGCTGAGTCTAAGGATGTGAAGCAGTGCACAAAAGAAGCTGAGTCTAAGGATGTGAAGCAGTGCACAAAAGAAGCAAAATTAAAATCAAGGAAAACATGTCGTCTGTGCCCTCCCAAGCAAAAAAAGAAAGACAACATATTTATGTTTATCTTGTTCCAAGACCCTGTTTGTTTGGAATGCAACGCAAAAAGTTATACAATGAATGTGTTAAAGAAGACGAAAACTAAATTGTTTACTATCAGAAAATCAGTGAGATACTGATATTTTAGGTACTGTCAAAATTTTTCTGTATTGTGCTACATACAAATTTTCTGCGGTTTAAAATTTGCTTTGAATATTAACTAATATAGATAAATAGTTAATTCAAAATAGATGCATTCTTATTTTTTAGTTTTATAGAATTTAGTGCAGCATATGATTTTCATCGAAAAATTTGAGGCTATGGGGAAATTTTCTGGGAAAACTTTCATTTCACTTTAAAGTGTAAAAACATATTTTCTTTTCAGAGTAAAATGTTCAAAGAACATCTAAGTGAAATATCATGATGATATTTTAATTAGACGATTTTTAAAAATTTATTATAATGCGCGGTCTCTGAGACCGCACGTCCCCTGTTATGTTCAACTTTTTCACCTCCCCTGTTACGGGTTAAATTTGTACATTGTCGGGGAGTTAAGGGTCTGTCCGTCTGGCATGTTCTGTCAGTGAAAATATGACTTAACAACAAATATCTGTCTAGATTGCAACAACAGCAAATATCTGCCTTTCTGTGAATAAACTGTATTCTAATACTCCAATCGTTGATTTTGTATCATTTTTAAAATGTCCAAATTTATGGAACATCACATAAATATGTGAAAACAAAGTAGACGCACAGACTAAATAAAGTTATCGCAAATATTTGCCAAGCCATTGCATAACTTTATGTTCGTAAGCTGAATAACATGAATAAGGAAAGAATAGTATCCATGTTATTAATAAATGCCACTATTACATACAGTCCCTTTAAAAAAAACTATGTACAGTCACTTTAGTACGATGACAGCAATAAGAAATCGAAATAGTATTTTAATAATTGTAAATATGATTCAAATTTTCCAATGCCTTGGTTTAACGAAGTATAGAACGAACTAAGACTATTCTGAGAAAATTAAGCAGCGTCAAACAATTTTTTGTTATCATAAGGCAATGATAAGGGTAAGGCATAATGAGATAGGCTCATTATTTAGTATAATAGTAGTACGATAATGTGCTATTAAATAATGACATTCAGTAAAGTAATTATGTACCCCGTTATACAAGATTCCTGTCAAAATATGAGCTTGTATGCAAGCAAATGAATTAAGGTATATTTGGTCGCAATTATTACACTAATTGTAATACTACATTATTATGAAAGAATTAAAGATAAATTGAAAGAATTAAAGATAAAATAAATAAAGCTAAATTAAATTAAAGAATAAAATTAAAGATAAAAATAAATAAGGATAAATTAAATTAAAGAATAAAATTAAAAATAAATTGAAAGAATTAAAGATAAATTTAAGTATAATCATTTCAACGGTTGGTACCTTCACAATGTATGGATCATGGCTTCTCTTAGGAGACAATAATTGTAATAACTACTCATTCAGAAAACGGAAGATTCTTGATAATTAATGAATGCCATTTAACATGATTTAAATGAAAGTTATAGAGATTGTAAAATAAGCGTTAGAATAGTGCCCAGCTGAGACAATCTAGTGCTTCATGCACAGCATTCTTTCCTGGTTCAACTTTCCTTCCCCGGAAGAATTTTTTTTAAATTTTTATGATGAGGATCGGAAATAACCACAGGATAACTTCGGGCTTCCTAGACTTTAAGACCCCATACCTTACGGGTCTGCTGTTTTATTCGAAACGCAGAGCTCGTTAATTATAAGAATTAAAAAGGTTAATTGTTAATTATAAGAATTAAGATAGTTGCTTGCTTAATTATAAGAATTATCAGGAATAATTAAGCAGGAATTAAAAAGGAAATAATTTTTACATAAATGATTTTTAATAAAAAAGAGCAACTTATTGAAAAAATGGCAGTTAATTCGAGAGATTTATGTATTTTATATTACTTGAAAATGATCAAAGGATAAAGTCTATCTGAATGGGAATATATGCAGGACTAATAGATATTCAAAACATAACATTAAAAATATTTATGTGATCTACCGCCCTCTTCCGAAAAAAAAAAAGAAAAAAACGAAAAAAACGAAAAACGCTAAATCTTTCTTTCGCATTTAATTATTAAAATATAAAAAAAAACTTTCTGCCTATGCCCTTTTCTTATCACAAAAAATCATCCACATTTCTTTGAGTAACTTTTAAAACAAAGTACATCTCCTATATGGTGTTCTTTTCCGGTATTAATTTGTAATACAAACAGTATAATTCTAGCTATATTATACTACAAAATTAGTACGGTATAATTATACTACACTATAAAATTAGCAGCATGTAACATTAAAATATATAGCTAACTACTAAAAATTATCTATATATTGCTTTAATAGGTGCTGCTATTTATGTAGGGTAATTACACTACAAAATTAGCAGGATATAATAAAATGTAAATTATTATTATTACTACTGTATAATTAATTATATTCCACTACAAAATTAGTAGCGTATTATAGTGCAATATATAGCTAACCACCATATACATATCAATATGCACAATAATAATTAAATATGCTAAATATAATATCTCATCACTCTCAGGGCAAGAGTAATACACATTTTGGGATAGCAGTTCTCAACCTGTGGTACGGGTATCCCTGGGGGTACGTGATCGCATCGCAAAAAAATTATTAGTAATGGCGGGAAATGGGAAGGTGTTGCAATGAATGCTGAATAAAATCAAAATATTAAGAAAAATAATTTGACATTAATTAGGGAAAAAATTAATCGGAAATGTGTTTAAGAGCTATGTATTTAATTCAGTTTATGGTATTAAAATAAAAGCGTTATGAGGTACATTGCGAGAACACTAAATGATTATTAGTGGATTTTTACGTTCTTATGGAAGGCTGTCTCATTAGGGGTACACTAAATAATTAAGGAGAACGAGAAATAATTAAGTCTCATTAAGAGTACGCGAAAGCAAAAAGGTTGTGAACCACTGATTTAGGATATGTTTTATATAAGTTGATGCTTCTTTTATACTGCAGTAATCTGAAACTATCAACATAAAAACACATATGGAAGGAATGCATTTTATATATTTCCATTTGAATTTTGTCATATTTTTAATATTAATAGACGTGATGGAATTTTTTATTACTATGGGTGTTCAATGAAACAGCACAAAATCAAGAAAGGAATATGCAGCGTTTTTTTTAAAGGACAAAGTTAAATTTAACAGATATACAAAAGTAAGACTTATGTCTAAATGTATGTACACTAAACAGAACTTTCTAAATTCAGATTCTGTTGAGGAAATTCTTACCTTGATAATGAAACCTTGTTCTTGGCTGTTTCTGATGCTTGCTAGGAAGCCTCCCATCTTGTAGCAGATTTCTTGTGCGTCTTCGAATTTTTGCTGATTGTTGTCTGCGAACATGAAACATACATTTCGAAATGTTCGCCAAGGCCTCTCGCATTTTTTAACCTTTGCGCTTTCTGTTGGAAAAATGGAAAATATTTTTGATTATCAACTTGAAAATGAAATATGTTTTTTATTTATCTCAGCCAAATTTTTAAATCATATCCATGAATTATGTGTAAGATTTTGTTTTAATTAACCAGTTGTTTTATTATTTTGGCTATTATATACTTCTATTTTTAATAATGTATAACACAGTACAAATTAATTCGAAGGACCAATAAAATTACTTTTTAAGTTTATCAAATAGGATTTAGCGCCTTAGGTTGGCTTTTACTCTACTCAGACTATTTTTTTGCATTAGCTTCACGTGGCTCTTGGCGAATGATTCGTCGGAGGTGGGGACGAACAAAGTTAAATTAGGTTTAACTTATATTGTGAATAATATTCGATTTAACTAAAATGTTTGTTGAGTATATGTTTTATTTATTCGCAAGCTAGCAGACATTTATTTACGTAAATATATGTTTGTGTAACAGCGAAGTCAACGTATTAATCAATATTTAATATTTTGGATTTTTCTTTTCTTCTGACACGCGTAGCTAAGAAGTCAGACAGAAAAAGTCGTCCCGCAGTATCTTACGGTTATTTTAGTGACCTGATATTTTTCATTTAATAACGTAATCATACAAATTCTTCAGAATTTCTCTGATGCAAGCACATTCATTTTTTCCTCTGAGTAATAAAACTATCCATGATATTGCTTAAATAAAGTTGTTTTGTGAGATTTTGATTTCTGAATAAATATTCTTTTTCTTCTTATTAATATCAAAAAACAAAGAATAACATTTATTTAAGTACGTGTTTTCCCATATATATGAAACAGACTGAAAATTTTCTCGAGTCTTCTGTTCCTGATTCAGGATATTATTAGTAGATTAAGGCGTCTGTAATAAACCGGCCTGTTTTGCCTCTCAAATTTGCCAAGCGCAGAGCATCATTTCCTAACCTCCTCTTCCCTCCGATCTAAGGGCTTGCTAATTCATTTGGCCCTTTTCCTTCAAGTAAAAAGGATAACACTTAACAGTAATGTCAATCCAATTAATGCGACAAAATAAAATACATAAAAAAATCTGAAAGGTTTCAGATTTTAAATTACGTCCAAAGGGGCGTTTTATTAACATTTCGTCTGTTACCTTTATTTATTAAATATCATGTTCTTTGCACGTGAACCATAAAATTCAGTTCAACAGCAATATCGCAAAATAATTTTAAAATGAGCCTATCTTTAGAATTTCCGAAACACAGTTCCGCGTGCTGGAGATAAAAAGGTATTTTTTTTTCCCTCTTAGAGTGTTGCCATTGTTCGCTTTGAAATCCTCGAGTTTGTTACTCAAAAATTCGTTAAAGTTTTACAAAATATGAAATCGATCATAAAGCAAATTTCAAATTTCAAATTTGGTCTTCCACATGCCCATATTCGAAGTAGGATTACGTCATTCAAAATGCAATGGCTCTATGTACCGTTGTTTTATCACAATGAGAGAAATATAGATACATTTATGCAGATTTTTCATTATTTAATTTCTTCAAATATAATGCAGGACTCTAACATTGGGTGGCAACAGTTTGAAAAGTGAAACGGACATTTATAGTGATTCAACGCAAAATCTCAAAACGAAAACAATAGTCCTTCAGGGACAAAGCCCCTTTGGACTAACAAGACAAAATAAACAGAGAGGTTTGAGTCCCCTTGGCCACGGAAATGTGACGAAGGGAAATAAATGTATGGGAAATGCCTAGCTTCACATTGCTTGCGTCATAAATGGTGGTATGATCATCTTGGTATATAATTAATTTCCTTGGAATAATTTCCTTGATATGTAAGAATAGCCACACATGATACGAGATGGTTTACCTTACTGTTAAAGGAGATTTCCTGCGATTTCTGATTCGAAATTTAGCATTGTCTATAAGCATTCTTCAGTGGCCCGTGTGAGAAGACAAAATAAACAGAGAGGTTTGAGTCCCCTTGGCCACGGAAATGTGACGAAGGGAAATAAATGTATGGGAAATGCCTAGCTTCACATTGCTTGCGTCATAAATGGTGGTATGATGATCTTGGTATATAATTAATTTCCTTGGAATAATTTCCTTTGATATGTAATGAATAGCCACACATGATACGAGATGGTTTACCTTACTGTTAAAGGAGATTTCCTGCGATTTCTGATTCGAAATTTAGCATTGTCTATAAGCATTCTTCAGTGGCCCGTGTGAGAAGATGCGTTATGTTCGTTACATGAAAACCAGGACTGGATGCATCCATTGCAAACCTGTAATTCTCAATTCTTAACGTATAACTGTCAAATGAATCCTATGTGTATAAATTTCCAAACCAGTCTCTTTCAGCTTTATGGACTGGATTACAATGTATCCCGCGACTTCGCCAAATGTATTCGTTTATAATACTCTCTAGAATGAAACGGGACTCTATTTTACTGGATTAGGGGATAAGAGAAGAACTTAAATTCAATATCTAGAAATCTTATGAATATTTTTTCCGATTGGGTGTTCGAAATATAAGACTACCGAACGTTAAATGCAAGAAGCAAAATATTCAGTCCAGGAAAGAGATAAAATCCGTTGATGTAATAACTGATTCTCTTTTGAACTTTATAATGTACTTTAAGGCCCCTATTTTTAAATTGGGAATTGCAAATTTGAAACTGCTAGCAAATTTAAATATTTAGGATCAGAAGTTAATATTCTCAATGATTTAATGCCCGAGATCCGTAGTAGAGTCACAGATGCTAACCGATGTTTTTTTAGGTTTCAAAAAATACTTGAAGTCTAACTTCACTAGCAGAAAAAAAAAAGATTTTAATTTACAAAAGCTTAACCAGACCCATTCTTACATACTCTGCTGAGACCTGGGCAATGACAAAAAAAGTAAAAGTATCATTTCTGTCTCTGAAAGAAAAATTTTGAGAAGTATTTTTGGTGGCATAAAATGTAACAATAGCTGAAGAAGAACTAACTGTAAACTCTATAAATCCTTTAAAGAAATATATATAGTAAAATATATAAGGATTCAGAGAATTAAATGGTCAGGACACTTGTGCAGAGTGGATGAAAATCGAGTAACTGAAAAGATGTTCTCGGCCGGACCATTCAGCACCCGAAAACAAGGGAGACCTAAACTTAGGTGGCTCGACTGTTTGGAAACAATCTTAAATGTTTAAAAATAACCAAGTTAATGTCCCTGGCCAGGGATAGAAAAGCTTGGAATTCCATTCTGAGGAAGGCAAGGGTCCATCCTGGGCTGTCTGGCCATTGAAGGAGAAGAATGTACTTAAGTCTGTAAATATAAAGACTGAAGATATCTTAAATTGTTATAGAAGGACTTTGCCGTAGAGGCATTACTATTAAATAATATGTCATCCGGCGGACAATATATGAAAACATCATTTTACCGTTTGTTATCAACGAATGGTATAATTCAGAGGGCTTGGAAATTGCTTCTGAAAAGATATATTAGAATTGTCCCTACAGAAGTGGCTGACATATTCCCTGGTATGCCTTTTTTCTCAGAATATTTTACCTTTTACTATGAAAAAGGTTTTTTAAGATCAGGAATTGCCAATGTAACACATATGAAGATAATACTGTGACCCCTGTGCCTTCCAAAACTTTTATTTAAGTAAAATCCACCGAGTTATGATTGCTCTCCCATTTCAGTAAAATCTTCCCCAAATGGGTGAAATCGACATATACGAGTAATATATAGCAGACGAGGCCAGATTGGGAGAGAAAATTGCACTTGCATCTGCCGTTTATTACTACGGAGTGGAAATTGCTAGTGAAAAATATGCATTAAACTCATACTATTCAGTTTTTCACTCAGAAGATACTGCTGTGATAAAATCATTGAAATGGGTTAAAAAGGACAGTTAATGGTGAACATATAATTGTTCTATACTCTGACTGTCTTTCTTCTTTAAAAGCTCTCTTCCACCTGGCCCAATCAAACAAACTAATAATATAGATTAAGGATCTTTATCAGGAACGGATTAAGGATCATGAAATTATATTTAACAGGATGAGGGTACAGATGGGTCATGTCGGCAATGAAAGGACGGATACGCTAGCAAAAGAAGTTGCAGAACAGTCAGATATTGATATTATTGATCTGCAGGGATCAACAAAAAAGCAGTGATTGCTAAAAACAAATATATAACTGAAAAATGGATCCCCAAGTGGGAAGGCCAAAAAGAATAAAAGGATATAACAAGCAGATAAAACTGAAAAATTATTAATGTGTCATGATTTTGATTGCAATTAGATTTTAAGTGCCAAGGCAGATTGACTTTATATTTAAATAAATATAAGCTCCAAGACTCTGATCTCCGCAGCAAATGTAAAGTAATCAGAAACGGACAGCACTACATAAAGATCTATACATAAAAGGTGCAGGTTTTAAGCAAAATGGAATTTTTAATGCTAAATATGTTTTTAAGGATTATCAGATAGTGAGAAAGTTTTACAAGCGACTGATGGAACTGATAAACTAACGTGAACTACTACTACTAACTGATAAACTACTAACTGGTAAATTAATAACTGATAAACTATTACTCTGGAAGTTTCACTAACTACAAGTAATAATTATTTAGTATTTAAATGAAAGCTTTTTAGGGAAATTTATATTTTTAATTTGATTTCCTTGAAATATTAAATGAAATTTTTTTAGAAAAGTAAAATTCTTTGAAGTATATATCATTGTATTTGTTTACGAATTTCGTGAGTGTTGCATTTATTCATGATTTACTCAATTTATATTTTAGAAGGAAGAATATGCTTTTATAAATAATATTTTTTATAAATTTATAATGAAATTTAATTATGGTAAATATATGTGGTAAAAAAGTCAAATTCCTTTCTTTTAAACTGCTTTTATTTATCATAACAAAAAGATTATTTGTTATGATAACGTAAACAACAATGCATGTAAAGAAATTCTCTATGATTTTTGCAAACGCTACCATTATTTTCAATTTATTCTGTAACTCAGAAATGTTTCTTATAGCATAATCGTTTTTGTTAATACAACAGAATGAACTCACCAACTAAAGCTATGTATGTTAATATTGCAAAAACCCAAAGGATTTTCTTCTTATGATGATCAAATTCTACTCTAATCTGTAAAAGAGAAAAATGTTTAGAACAAAATCTTGGCAAAACTAATAAAAAAGTCTTGATTCAAAGAAATACTAATAAATTCCAAAAATATTAGAAAAAAGAATGCATTGTTAGCTGTAAAATATAAAAGGATCTTCAACTGAATCACGAGTTTATATCTAAAAAAATCTGATGTGTGCACCACATGACTTCCTTGTACGGAATATTAAATTATACCCATTTTTTCTTGCATTTCATTTAAACTTATTGGATTGGAGTAAATCTACTTCGTCGTTAGCGCATAAACCACAATAGTATAACTGCACTTTTTAAAATTCACTATATTTGTTTACCATAGCGACACTCTGGCCCTAGGTTCACTTAACAGCGCTACTTTCAAACATTTTTTAACTATACCTATGTCTTATCACTTAGTAAGATGCAATTGGCCATTAACGGCCTTTACCAATATATTATACTTCACTTTTAGATGCGTGAAGAATCGAAGTAAGTTGTATCCAATAATAATATGGAAGTACATGTGCACATGTTGTGCTAGAACTCAGAGATTACTAGCGACGGAGGCTTCTGTGGCGCCGTCCGTAGAATAAGTAACCTTTGAACAAATAAGGCGCTCGTGTGGCGCCATCTATTAGTAGGTATGAAAAGCATATTATTTGACTGGAGCTCTGGTGGCGAAATCTCTTGCAGGATGTATTGTAAGGCATTTTTAAAATTTCATAAAAATTATTTTTCTGATAAACAATAATTGGTAAGTAAAATGATGAAAAACACAATTTGCGATACATTGAAACGTTTCACAAGAGTAAAAGCTACCTGCTTTGGCAGGAACAAAGTCCATAGCGTTTTGTAATTTGATAAGTAAAACTATAAGTAAAGAAAATGAAGTAAAATCTTGACTAAATCATTTTTTAACTCAGAATGCACAAAATTTATATCATCTTAAGAATTAGCTAATCGTTGCCACATGTTCTGTTCAAATACTATAATAAATCTAAAACGATGTATAAAAGAAATTAAGCAAAGAACAACAACAACAAAAAAGAAACAGTCTTTCACAAAAGATTCAGTATTTCTCATTCAATTAACTCAGTTCCCACTTCGCGACAAGGCAAAAATACATTAAAACTCATGATATCTGTATTGAAAATTGTGAAATAAATCTTAAACACTTATTTCCTCGAAAAAATTCCAGAATGGATTAAGCATGATTTAATTCGCAATAATAAAAAAGGCGTTATTGGGAAGCTTACTTTCTCTAGATTGGCAACAAATCTACTATTCTGCTGTTTCAAATGTAAACAATCAATAGCCGCCATGGAAAAAATTACTAGGCTTAGCGGCACTTAAACAACTTTTAAATTGGTGATAATTCTAAAAATATTGCATACAGATTTACTGAAGGCATAAAAATCTTAACCGGAAGATAATAACAATATAATTCAATCATTTTTAAAGAAAAAATACGCAATTTACAAACATATAAGAATAAAGAAACTGAGATCACTGAGCCGAGTAACAGAACGGATATATATATGTTACCGTGAAAGACAGAAATTGAAGAATGTCGACTTTCACCAGAGAATATCAACATTCACCAAATACGTCGGTGAAAGACCGAATATTTCACTACATTTTTGTATATTCGGACCCTCACCGGTGTATGTCGACAATCACAGATATGCTCTGGTGAAAGTCGAAATGAGAGATCAAAGTGCCATAATAGTTTAAGTTGTTGCAATAAATAAGATTTGAATCACATAATTTAGTAAGTTTTTTTTATTACTGTTATTTTATTTTCTCATTTAGAACGTACTGTATAATTAAGTAAGTTTTTAACTTCTATTATTTTCCTTTCTCAATTTTGGAAATGTATTGTGTATTTTAAGTTCTTCATGTTCTTCAAGTTCTTATTTTAAGTATCACAGTGCGTTTATTCGCGACTGAATTACGGAGAAGAAAATATAATATGTCTCGTATGTTCAACATTCACCATTAGTAAATGGTGAATGTCGACATTTGACCAGTGTAAGTCAGAAATAAGAGTATTTGGAATAATATTTCGGACATATACCATCAAGCGACTATGTGAATGTTGACATTCACCGGTGAAAGTCGACATTCTCCAGATTTCGGTGTTTCACCATAACATATACATATATTTATATACTTTTGGTGCGGCCGATTGCAACCAAAATACGAAGTGTACATCTACATGTTATAGCAGTCCTATATACAAAATTTCAACGTTCTGAGGCTACTCGTTTATGAGTTATGCGAGATAAGTAGGTACGTACGTACGTACGCACAGATGCCACGAAAATTCTCTTCAGAATTCATTTTAAATAAGTTTTACAATTTTTTTGGGGGGAAAAGAGTCCTTTATCCTGTTCTTACGTACAGACAGTCACGCAAAACCATCGTTAAATTGCATTCGATAGCGGTTAAAATGGATATTTGCGTTGAAATATGATGCCTGAAACTTTTCGCGATTACAATACTTCCTTTTTACTTCGTACAAGGAAGTAATTAATTAAAATGTACAACAAATTTGCACAAGTTTAATAAGCTGCTTCTATTACTATAGCATACAATTCCATTCAAAAAGCTTTTCTCAAACGACCAGCTTTCGTGTAGTTCACAGTATGAAATTTGTCGAATTGAAGTTTCATCAATCCATCAAATCATGCTCATTCGATTATTTCAAGCTTCAACAGCATTTGTTTCAATATCACAACATTTGGTTCGTGTAAGTTTTGTGTCAGTCGAAACTTACAAATAGCTCAATCCTAATTGAGTATCTGTTTGATGTCATTTTGGGATAACTTTATCTTGACAGGAATTTCTGTCATTAGTTTGGAGAATTTTTAAGAGAATTTCTAAGATTTCGCAACTTCAAATATTAAATAATTCAGTGAATTTTTTCCCCTTTGTTTTTTAGTTTGTGCTATAACATTATATGATTTTTAGCCCACAAGGGCCGTTAGTTTCGAATGGGATATTAGTCTCCAAACGGTATTTTGCATTGAATCACTATAAACTGCGCACCACTTTTCAAAATGTTGCCACCAAATATTACCGTTAAAGACGATAAGTAAAGAATAATCTTAGTGAATTTATGCATGTTTTCCGAATAGTGTAAAAACAAAGAGCGATCAAATTCTGAATAGCATAGTCCTCCACCCGAACAGGGGCACCCGGAAGCCCAAACTTTTAATTTCGATTTCGTTTGATTCGCTATTTTATATTTTGGAAACTTTAACTCAACGATTCCAAAGCAAGCAGTGACAAAACTGTACGGAAAAAAAAAATTATCTCCAGCGTTGTGCGGGACTGTCTACCTGAAAATCTAAAGCTATGCTGTTTTTAAATATTTTGTGATTTTGCTGTTGAATAGAATTTGTTTGGTGTAAGCGCCAAAGACGTGATATTTATTAAATAAAGTAAACACACAAAACCTTAATAATAAAGAGACAAAAAGTTTATATAGCCATCTTAGTAAGAAAAATGAATATTGATATGGTGAACTAAGAAAAAAACTGAAAAAAATGAAAAGTGCATCTAACATTTAACGCTGCATCGGGAATTTGAAACTTATACTGCTATACTGCTTTGGATGTTTTGTAATTTTCTGTTAAATTGAATATGGCGTAAGTGCGGAGAAAACAATACTTAATAAAATGTAAAAAGACAAAAAAAATGGGTTAGTAGGAGTGAGGTTAACAGCTGACTAGTAGACTAGCGAGTGGGTAAGAAACCTTAAAAAATCCTTTTAGTCAACCATTAAAATCTGAAAACTTTCATTTTTTTATTTTTTATACTCAAATAATTTTTATGCTGCATTTTTTTAGAATTTCTGCAAAAGTGCAGTTAAGAGTATTTCTGTTCCAGAATCCAAAATTCTTAACTGAAATTTGTATCATCGCAAGTTTTGTTGCACTTCTAGAAAAGGATACTCATTTCTCAAAATTAAGTTTCTCAAAGAAAAGTTCTCATTTTCTTAAAAAACATAAAGCTTAACGAAGAAAATCTGTATATGTAGACCATCATGTTTGAAAAACTCATTCAGTTATTCCGTGATCTTAATCTTAAGTAACGGTGTTCAACCGTTTCCATAATTTAATAGTTTCATAAATATAATTTTCAGTTACAAATATATAACATACTTTTGTTTACTTACATACTAGTTAGGTGTGTTATTGCTTCGTTTTCGATGTGCACCTTTCTACTGAAATGTTAATGTAAATCATCGACCTCGACCTTTTTCCCCAAATCTTTAATGAAAATCCCAGGACTCATAAATTCCATGCTGTACTCCTAATATTATATATAAACGCTGTACTATGCAACCATCTTCTACATTACATTCACTTAATTCCGTGAATATTTGAGAAAAAAATCTAGTATCATTTCTGCCCTCTTTTAAAGCCTTGTATATTTAATCATATGCAAATATAAATACATAACAATATAGGATTTAATTAAATACATTATTTAATTTAAATTAGAAATTACTTTTTGCATTTATTCTGTAATTTAAAAATTATTAATTAATAATTTAAAAATACAGATTTTGTTACTGAGTAAAAATGAGAATCAAAAGAGTAGACTATTGAAAATTTATATTTAATTTCAAATTTCATTTTTAAAATATATACTTAATTTAAAAAGTAGCAGCTTTTACATTCTCGTAGAAACTAATTTCACTGACTAGCTTTTCACTTGTGACTGGTGTAACTCTTAAGGAAATTAATATTGCTGAAATATGTTCAGAGAAAATTCTTTTAATATCTCACAACACATTTTTTTTTAATTTGAAAAATGAATTCCTAAAATTACCTAGAATTGTACACATGAAGGGAATCACTTATTTAAGGTGTGTATGGTGTATTTAATTATGGCAAAGCACACTAGGGCTATCTGCCTAAGAGGAGGGATGCCTTCGTGGAGGACTTTCTAAGGGAAACTGGCTCGTATACACGTTACACATGGGTAAAACCACGAAAACGCCCATGCAGCCAGCCCGTTCGCGGGATTCGAACCTCAGACCGAACTACCAATGTTCAGCGACTTTACCGCTCGGCCGCTGGTGGGCCCACTTGTTTAAGGACTAACACTGTAGAGACATAAGGTATTTTTGGAAGCATAAAAGATGAAAAATGAGCAACGCCTTCGCCGATGGTCGAACCGTGGAGCTCTGGAATACGCGTCCAGCGTGCATACCACCACACCACGAAGGCATGCCAAAAGGCAGGAGAAATACCTTATATACTCCCCCTTTTAAAGGGCGACTGGAGTTTAAGGGGAACCAGTCGCCAAATCCTGGATGTGGAGAATCATCATCCAACATCCTTTTATTACAGGCGCCACTGTCGAGACATTAAGATTTTTTGGAAGCAGGAGATGGGAAAAATGAGCATTGCCTTCGCCCGGACGCGAACCACGGAACTCTCGAATACGCGTCGAGCGTGCTGACCACTACACCACGAAGGCATGCCAAGAAGGCGGGAGAAATGCTTCATAACATGAAGATTCGGCTATTGTTCCTAGTTTTAATATGATAAATAATAATAGGTAATGAACACTTTTAGAAATAACAATTTCTACATTTTAACAGAAAATAATTTCACTTTTGTTCGATTCATTTTCTTCTTTTCAAATGAAAAATTTACAATATATTGTGAAAGCAAAGGAACAATAATTTTAGATATTCTATATATGGATTACTTCAATCCTGATTTAAACAAGAGTGTAAAATTTTTATTCAAATATATTTAACACTGGTGACAAATACTTAAAGATCTCCTCTCAATATACACATATCATTTGCACATGAAAATCATAAGCTGTCTCTTTTTCAATTGTCTATTTAGAACAATTCGAATAAAATTCTTATGACTTAAATGAACATGCGAAATGTCGATTTTAGATTGAGATAGAAATAATTTCACTTAATAATTTTTTCTCTGCATTCTAAAACACCTATTTTATATTATATAACTTAACTTTGTATTTTCCATTTTATAGCTTGGGATTGTAATGTAAATAAATGTACCACAAACAAATATTTTTCATACGAAAATATATATTTTAGATTCCAAAGAAAAATACATTCTAGTACAATTCGTTAAGAAAATCTTATTTCGACTGTTATAAGTAACTAATATACGTAATTGTTAATTTCTGTCTTGTAAGCTCATACATTGGTATGAGCTTACACCTAATGGTATGATTTAATTATTTTTCTTTGAAAATTTTTTTATTATTATTGATGTGCTTTTAAAACTGCTTCCCTTAAAATCATACATTTTATAAAATTAATGGCTAAAGAATTATGTTTTGTTTGTCTCTAGTAGTGAAAAGCTTATAGGAATAAAATCAATATATTGCAAAACATAAAGTAAAAATAACAGCTTTAAGGTTTTAATATCGTTAAGCTTCTTCGAAGGAAAAAAAAATATGAAAGTTTTCAGATTTTATATAACGAATAAAGGGGTGTTTTTTAGCGTTTTGTGTGTTACCGTTATTTATTAAATATCATGTTCTTCACACTTAAACCATAGAATTCGATTCAACAACAATATCAGAAAATAATTTAAAAAGAGGGTATCTTAAGAATTTCCGATAAACAATCTCGCGCTCTGGAGATAAAAATGCTTTTTCGAGATGCTCATATTCGAGTGGAGGACGATATTATTCAAAATTTGATGTTTTTAGGTACCGTTGTTTTTTCGCAGTGCAAGAAATATACATACATTCATGCATATTCTTCATTATTTAATTTCTTTAAATATATTTATATTGAGTCTGTCATTTGGGAGCAACAATTTGATAATGAAACGCGGTTTATAGTGAACCAACGCTAAATTCCAAAAAGAAGTTAATAGTCTTTCTAGGCAAATTGTCCCTTTGGGCTAAAAAAATCTACTTTTCTTAAGATTTTAAACCTGATTTACAGTAGGCGACTATTTTCTACAATATTTAACTTTTAATTTTATGTAAAATATACTTTCATTAGTAAATTATGTTAAAAATCCTTAATTTAAAGTCATTCCTTAGATTTAATTTCATTTTATCAGATTAAAAAAAAAATTCGAGTAAATTACAATTAGCGCAGTTGAACTGGTACTCAACTGGTCAAACTGGTATTTTGTCTTCGTATGATGCTTTCGTATGCCATTACGAATGAAGGATTTGAAAGAGTTTGTTTTTAATTCAAAAACCACTAAATTCTATACACTGAAGATTTATGCAATTTGTCATTTAAAATTAGGCAACAATTTTTTTTTCGAACTGACGTTGGTTTTATAGAAAATCTCTGCATACTTCAAAGCAGCCAAGCACTGATCACAAAACAAGGAAATAGTCTTCTTCCAAAATACAGATATTTTTTTTACGAAACCAAGGTAAATATAAATTTAAAATTTTCAATTTCGAACTTAAACGTTTGCTTTATGGGCAAGAGAAATTTACCGTAATCAGAATCACAATAAGATTATAAATGAATATATATGTCAATGTTTATATTCTAATATAAAATTCATTTGATTACCATTGGTTCCAGCAAATATTACTAAAAACCTCATGCAAAATAAGATGGAATTCTGCTTCTCTTCATTTTGGAGTTTGCCACTGCAATGCGTCTGGTAACAGAATCTGCTAAATGCTGGCAGTTGTTCACATTGAAGTTCTTGCTGTGGAATTCAGCCTTGAGTCACCCACAGCTTATATAGTACAATTACACATTCTATTTTACGCGTAGGTTACGATTACTTACCTCTCAGCAGATTAAACTAAATGGATTTCGTCACGGAATCGACTGATTTAATTGGTGGTGAAAAGGGAAAACAGACGATCGTTTCCATGCGACGCATCTATCACCAGCAGTTAACGTACAAATTTTAACGAAATTTTTCGTTGTTTTCAGTCCTAGCACGATCAACGCAATCATCCAAACGTGAAAGAAGCAAAATGTGATTTTATTTTCACTGAAATTAGAAAGGCACTGTCCATCTACCTTACCACAAGGGACTCCAAAAAACTGATTAAATATACATAACCTGTTTAAAGTCAAACATTTTATTATCTTCACGGTTTCAAATCACGGATCCAGGAATAGAAGTTAATTATAGAAACGCATGACCTTAACCGAATTTTATTAATATAATGACTTTTACTTCACATCCCGGACTTAAATTGATCTCTGCTAGGATTATATTAATGAACTGACGCTGAGTTTAACAAGAAAAAAAATAAAAATGTTATTACTAATGTGATTTCTTGATGAATAACAGTTATTTTGCTTGCCATTGAAAGATCTGTGAACCAGCTTTTGTTTCAAAGGGTCAAAAACTTTTTTCCGAAGGAAAGGCAAAGTTTTCTTTTCGTGTTTCCTATATGCAACACAAGAGTTTAAATAACAAGAAAAAAATTGTACTTCCTTTCAGAACTGCTACTTCTAACAGCACAAAAAATGTATCGCATATCAGATGAGGAGATAAAGGGTAAAGCTTTCATGCTAAGTTAAAAATTCAGTATTCATTTCAATATTATTGTTCTTCATAATTTAGGTTGGATCATAAGAAATATTTATGAAAAGAAAGGGAAGATTATAATAAAAAAACTTCTCAGTTTCTTTATTTAAAGCTATATCAAACAAAGTGCCTATTAAAAGTGCACGATTCGCTCTGAAACTGATTCAAAGACCGCTTGACCGAATAAGCAATGATTTCACAAAGCGGAGTGTAACTCTTTTACAGCTCAGGGAGAACTGTTTTTGGAAGCGTCTCAGAAAATTTTGATTCCTCGTATGGTAACACTAGTATTTTCTTTATCATTTACTGGAAACGTCTTCGGCATTTGTACGCGTATATTTGTATGTATTAATGCATCACAGATGTGTTATTCATTCACGAAATGTGTAGAATCATTAGGGTATTTTGATGCTGGAGACGCGAAAAATAAGCAATGCCGTCTCCAGGACTCCAACCTGGACTTCTCGAGTACGCACCGAGTGTGCTACCATTACACCACGAAGGCATGCAGAAAGAAGAGAGAAAATACTCCCCCTTTTAAAGGGTGACTGAGGATTAGGGGATCCAATAGCCAAATCCTGGTGGTGAAGAAGCATCATCCACCATCTATTTTTAGTTCGGACGCCACTAAGAGTCTTTTCAAGATGTAGTAGGTTAATAGTAGTTTAATATAGTAGTAGGTAGTAGTTGTAGTAGCAGTAGATCACTGTAGGTTCTTTTGATACTGCACACTTGAAACATAAGTAATCCCCTCAGCGGGATTGGAACCTAGACCTCTCGAATACACGCCGAGTGTGTTGCCACGAAGGTATGTAGAAAGGAGGGAGAAAATACCTTATAACTGATTCAAAGAATAGATTCACGTTTCTGTGCAAGCGAGTGTCTGATTCGAGGAGAAAGACTGTAGCTCATTATGATTTCATCCACCCAAAGCTGTTGTTGGAAGTTTGCCATGAAAGTTCAATTTCCATTTTAGGATAGAAAAGAATGTTTATCCTTCCACGTCAAAAATGCGCTTAATTTTATATCATATCTCAACGTTTTAAAATTTTCTATTCTAGAATTTTATTGTTAGGTCCATGAAGGGAAAAACTTTTATGAAATCGCAAAACTACAGTCGAAAGAAATCTGTTCAAAGAGTTAGCATATGAGTGCCGTTTCTTGCGATCCCACCACTCGTTCGATTCTTTTCGTTCTTTGTTCTATTCTCATCAACTGATCTCGATTCACTTCTCCTCATTAAACTGCGTCATTCGTTAAGCTTCATTAAAAAAGATCAAGTATTTTTTGGTGTGTTACACAGCAACCAAAGTTTGGTAGTCTTAATCTTCGCTTTACACTTCAGGAACAAGTGACAAGTGACGGGGAATGTGGGCACTGTTACTCTACCATAGAGGTTATTCAGTATAGTACCACGTCCACCATGATCTAGAGCACCCTTGGGTGGTAAAAGGGAGGCCTCGTGCCGGACGCCCAAATCAAGAGCCTAAGGCATCCCAAGGGCAGTCCGCAACACCAAAATGCCGCCTGGGAATTTAATAATAATAAAATAAGAGAAAGGCTGAGATATGTGGCAAGATTATACATTGTCATGAAAAAGCTGAAATATATGACAAAATTACGCAGTGCCACAGAAGGGCTGAAATATGTGACTTGTGCATCACTGAGACATAAATGGTGAATATATGCAAACTGTTGACAGTATACCATTCTGGAATTCCTAGCTAATATAGACAACGTATGTACAAGTAATCACTGCTCATTACATATTACACGGAATTCTTCAACATGACTGAGTTACGTTAAATAATACTACATATGGACATATAAATGCTGCAAATTGATAAAAACTGAATTATATTTGTGTGACCAATAATGTAAATTATATTTTCAGCAAAATTACTAAATGCATCACATCTAGTACATATGTTACGGTGAAATACCAAAATCTGGAGAATGTCGACTTTCACCAGTGAAAGTCAACATTCACATAGTCGCTTGGTGTATCCGAAATATTTTCCAAATACTCTTATTTCTGACTTACACTGGTAAATGTCAACATTTCACCATGTACTAATGGTGAATGTTGAACATATAAGAATATTATATTTTCTTCTCCGTAATTCAGTCGTGAAAAAACGCACTTGAGACTTAAAATAAGAACTTAAGAACTTAAAACACACAGTACATTCAAAATGAGAAAGGAAAATAATAGAAGTTAAAAACTTACTAAATTATGTGACTCAACTGTATTACAACAACTTAAACTATTACGACACTTTGAACTGCACAAGAGGCCCTTGCTTTTACAACTGCATTTATTTGTGGAACACTTCCTTTTGCAATGACAGCGTGTACATATACTCCTCTCATTTCGACTTACACCAGAGCATATCTGTGATTGTCGTATACACCGGTGAGGGTCCGAATGTACAAGAATGTAATGCAATACTCGATCTTTCACCGACGTATTTGGTGAATGTCGACATTGTCCGGTGAAAGTCAATATTCTCCAATTTCCGTCTTTCACGGTAACATATGTAATAAATACAAATTACAAAGCTACTAATAGTACATGCAATATATGCAGAAGACGACAATTTAATTACTATATATGATGCAAAAGGCTGATCACTACATAAGATACAAAAAAAGAGGACAGTTATCATGTAAGCATTTATAGTAATTACACAGATTATTAACTGATTAATAGAATTCTTGCAAATATAATATAATAAGTTATGTTACTATAACGTAACTAAGTAACATTAGGCAGTACTGCATGTGAACATATAAATGCTACAAATTAACAAAAGATGAATTAAAATTTGCGTGACTGTGAGTGTTATTAGTATATTCAACGAAATTACTAATTGCAGTACATCTAGCTTACACTACATATGAGATTATACACAATAAACAATATTATAACACAATAAACAATATATGCAAATATGATGATAAGTGATCGCTATGTATAATGCAAACATATATTAAAAGATATAATATCTTTGCCGTTGTTTAGTTGAATACATACTTTAATGATGTAAATCTGACTACAGTCGAAACATATCTCGTTTAACGTTTCAGAATACTAATAAGTATGCATAGTAATCGCACTGATTGGCAACCAATTTATATAAATCAAAATAAATTGATGCATACAATAATAAAATAACAATGAACTAGTGAATTTATATACTTATGTCTATAGATCTCTTACAGACACATAAAATTAAAAATAATAATAATAAAAATCTGCCGATAATCACATAAATTGGCATGTAAATTTGTTTTCAAAATGTTAATATACACCCTATAGTTCATTATGCCATTGATAAAAGTAGTTTCCTTACATCTGCCTAAGACATGTAACCCCAAATCATAACGGATTGTCGGCGATGCTTTACTGTTCGTCCGAGATTTCTCAAATCAAATACTTTATTTGGGTTGTCTCCATATCTAGCAGAGACATTGGGTTATTTCTAAAAGCAGGAGTGATGGAAAATGAGCAAAGCCTTCGCCGGAAATCGAATCACGGACCTCTGGAATACACGCCCAGCATGCAGACCACTACACCACGAAGGCACGCTAAGAAGACGGGAGAAATACCTTATAACCTTACGATTGCCATCTACTCCAAGTACGTTCTGCTTACGTTCATCATTAAATACAACAGTTTTCCAAAAGTCTGGATGGTCGTTTACATTTTTTTTTTTTTTTTTTTTTTTTTTTTTTTCAAATGACAGCATTTCCTTTCTATTGACTTCAGACTCGTAATATTTGTTTTCGAGCTAATCGTACTTTAGAAAGAAACTCTTTAAGGGTATTTCTTACAATTTGGGTACAAACTTTTTTCTTAATCCGGTAGTTTCAATTCTGTACCACTTAATGTTTTGGATCTTTTTTAACTTGTTGTAAAAGATATCGTTTATTATACCTGGTCAGCTTCTCAAAGTCGCCTGCTTCTTGTCCTGTTTACAAAATATGTTGATTCCAGATGCATTTTTAGTATGTATTATATAGCTGAAAGTGATCTGTTAATAACTTGAGCAATTCCTCATATATTTCTCCAGATTTTCTCTGCAGTTCCAAGCTGTAGTTTGGCCCATCAGCGGCCGAAAGGTACAATCATTAAGCACTGGTAGTACCGACCTGAGTTCGATTCCAGACGAACGAGTTGACTGCATGGGCGTTTTCGTGGTTTCTCCCATGTGTAACGTGCATACGAAGGCAGTTCCGCTTAGGACGTCCTCCAGGAAGGCATCTTTCCAGGAAAGTTTCAGAAAATCTTAAGGTAAACTCTTGTAACACACAAGGATGTCTTCGAGTGTTAATTTAAACTTTGTAACTCTTTAAATAGCCTATGAATGGGCAGAGTCGATATCTCTTTGACGATAAAAAGGGTCGTTTACAAGAAAGTAGCTTTATACAATCAATTTTGCTTTGTTTTGTTTTGTTTTGTTTTTTCAAATATGATTTTGTATTTAATGACTAGTACAAACCTTGATAAACTAAACAGTAAATGAAGGTCAACAATACATAATCAGAACTATGCTTTTATGTCGTTTTAAATGCATTTATTAGTAATGTCGAGTACTTTTTCTGACAAAGTGTATAATATACCAGGTTTCAACAAAATACGCCAATCAAAATGACTCTGTGTGGGTTCTGAGTCTGACAAGGTACACTTTAATTTTAATAAACCGTTTAACAAGGTCTGGCAATGATTTTGTCTTTTATATACTAATAAATAATGTTAATACATTCGGAAATCAAATCCATACATCAATCTAACGTAGAAAACATCCATACATGAATACTTCTATATATCAATCTAAACATAAAAGTTTCTTTACGTAAGGTTTTTTTTTATTTTTTACGAGGAATCAAAAGTATGATAGAAAGTTTTTACTTCCGCCAAATCAGCATCCGCGTTTTGATAAGATAATTCCATCAGCCACGTAGATACAATGGCGTCGGTCTGTTAAGATCACTGCTGCTGAAGTGCATTGGCACGATTTTGGAATCAATTAATTCGTTTGTTATGCTTCTTCTGCGGTCAAACTTCTTAATTTTTCTTTTCATCTTCTCACAATGTGTGCTAATTAGCAGGTAAATAGTCTGTATTTTAACTATTTTCTTGCCAATTTAAAAGAAAGTGTTTAAGTGGCTTCAAAGCACTCCTCTTTTTTAAAATCTGTTGTTTAATTTGAAATGTAAATGCTATCAATTTCAACACGAAAGTTTTTTATAATTTAAGTACGATTGTTAAACATCTGATCTGGTTCTCTTTGTGATATATAAATAAGCAAGATTGCTAAAAAATGCATGCTTAGATGTGTATATTATTATTACTATTATTATTGTTATTATTATTATTAGAAAAGGTTTTTATATATTATCTTCAAGGAAACGGAATTTAATTAAAGCTACGAATTATTAGAAAAAATCTTTGAAAAATAGTATTTTAAGTCAGTAGATTTCTATTGCAGTAAGAATTATTTAAAATCTGTATAGAAAGATTTTTAACGGTAAAAATTCTAAATATTAAAATTAAAATTTAAAGTACTGAAAAAGTAGTTATTGTAATTGATTGCAGGTTAATTGACTTGTCAAGGGGAACAAACAAATCTACTATCAATTAACAATAATCAAATTAAATGAGAGTGTTTTGTCTTTTTTTTAATGAGGATCAAATTATTTATTTTTCTAAAAATATATCATAAGCTTCGAAAAACACCAATTATTAAAAAACATATTAAATTACTTAAGACAAAATATTTTTGTCATAAACAAATTCTAAATTAAAAATGAGTAAGATATCCGTCTTAATTTAAAGATATTTATTAAGACCTGAATTATATGAGATCCTTGTTTTAGAAAAATATTCCCAGTAAACTCTCAACACTTATACAAATTAATATATACAAAAGAAGACATAATATAAAAAGTGTATAAATGAATATATTATTTTAGATTAAAATATTCTTGTATAATTAAAACTCAAAATCAAAAGTATATTTATATATATATTCGTCAACACTATATATATATTGCAATTTTCAGTGTCCATATGTAGGATATTTTGTTTGCATTATTATATTATAATGCTATCATAAAATTCTCTTTCTAGTACATTCAACGAAAAGATAACAACAACAAACTGTAAGGAAACTTTTTTTCATGTCATTTGTTAATACTCTAAATGAAATTAAATTTACATTTTACAATTTAAATATATGTAATAAATTTGACAGTTTCTTTTAATGTAACATTGAAAGCTGCAGTTTTATTGCACATTTTTCTAACTCATATTCATTATTGATCAAAAATAGAATTGCTTTCTTATTGCTTCATACTTGAAAAGGTTCATTGAAAATTTAGAATAATTTGCCAAAAAATGATTTACAGAGTCCCTGCCAAGTGAAAAATGTAAAAAATTTGTACTTAGAAGGTAATAATTCTATACTGAAATGCCTGATGCATCCATTAGAAGCATCTTCTATTAATAATGATATTGATGCAAAATGTTTACAAAACATCATCATTTTTCTGAAATATCATACCGATGTTTCTCCATTTTTTAATTCTTCTATTCAAATTACGCCAAAGCGCCAAGTAAAAATTTCCTGGGTGTTTTTAAACTAATAAATCTCAAAGTTTTAGCTCCTCACTGTTAGTTGAATTTTGTAAATATTTAATAATATCTCTTTTCATATTAAACTTACTTGATTCCTTCTCTCAAAACTCAAAATTTAGGTTCAATCCAAATAAAATTCGCACATTTTTAAAATTTGTATTTTTAAAAAATTATATATTTTTCGAAAAACATTTTTAATAATAACCGATAGAATTTTCGCCGTCATCTTAAATTAGATGTATTTCTAGGCATAGCTGCAACAAATTAGAGTTTTTTTATTCGAAATTTCCCAAGATATACGTGAATTTATATATTGAGGCGTTTTGAAATTTGGTATATTTTTTCTAAGCGATTTCACTTTGTTAATTTACTAATGAATTGCAACAGTTATTCTGAACCTGAAATTTCCAAATAAACTTTTACTGAGGATCATCCTGGGTAATTTCATTTTTCCGTTTTCATTAGTAATGGGGCTCACCAGCGGCCGAGCGGTAAAGTCGCTGAACACTGGTAGTTCGGTCCGAGGTTCGAATCCCGCGAACGGGCTGGCTGCATGGGTGTTTTCGTGGTTTTCCCCATGTGTAACGTATATACGAGCCAGTTTCCCTTAGAAAGTCCTCCACGAAGGCATCCCTCCCCTTAGGCAGATAGCCCTAGTGTGCTTTGCCATAATTAAATACACCACCACACCATTAATAATGCCTATCAAATGTTTATTTATAATACATGGAAAACTTTTTTATAAATACTATTGATGAAAAGTTCAAATATTTTTTTCCTTTCATGAAAGTAAATTTTTACCCTTTTATCACCTGATACTTTACTTAACTTCCCATTATATGCAATAAGATTTATTTTATGATTTCAAAATTGTGCTTCATTTACGCATTCAATAACTCTGAGTATGTCTACGTCAAAAATATAAATAAAACATACTGTCTTCTATTACAGAAATGTTTATAAGCGGCAAAATTTACTAGAATATATTATCTTTTTTCTGTCTGTAGTAAATGCAACATATAAAAATGATCTTGAAAATGTGTTATGTCCAAAGATATTTCGTGGTCTTTACTTCATAGTAAATTTTTTAAACAAATTGTTTGTTAGGTAGGAAAGGGACCCTAGTTATATCCAAAGACTCTTTTTTTTTTTTTTTTTTTTTTTTCCAAAGCAAAATGTATTGTTATGTAAACACAGGATTCAAAATAAACACCTTTTTAGAAATTAAATTTGCCAAAACCTGAATTCTTATCATTACACTGGACTTCTGTAAATTTCTGGTTTTCTTAATTTAGAAATCTGATTTTAAAAATCGCGCATAAATTAGGTTAGTTAGTTATTTAAATACGGCAAAGCACATGGAGAGTGTCTGCCTAAGGAGAGTTTTTTATTGTTGTTTTTGTTTCTAATACACACTTGCCTGATTACAGTCAGCCCAAGCACCTAAAATACAATCGTGGTTAGGAGGGCAAATTTACGCCTGCCTTTGGCAACAGCCTTGAGCACCTTACGGGTGACAGAGCTCAGTTCCGCCCCCCAATTTTGATGGAGAGCACCCTGAGGGGATGAGTCCGAAGGTCTCCCTTACCTCTTACCTTACCAACAACCTCTCGTGAGGACTTTCGGCTTCCCTCCATGCTGCACGGACACTATACATTTACAAACACCCATGCCTTCTCTGGGATTCAAACCAAGGCCTTTCGGCACGGCAGTCAGCAAAGTTAACCTCTGTACCGGTTGTTCAGCCGGAATGCCTTTTTGAAAGACTTTATTAAGAAACGTGGCTGGTATTCACGTTGGATATAAGGAAAATCGCGAAAACAATTCAGCCTGGGTTGGTTTCCGAGACAGCAGTCTTTAACGCATGGCCGGAAGTGCGTCCGCTTAAGTTAAGAGTCACGTTATTAGATTTGTGAAACCTCTTATGTTATTTAACCAGCTATTACGATTAAAGCCTTTAATATAACTTTTCATTTCCGTAACCTTACGGGAATACAAATTAGTAGCTTTGTGTGTATTTAAGTTGAGGGTTTTGAATCTTTAGCTGAGAGAGCTTCTGACAACCATGTCTCGCTCTTAGGTTTTATTGTCTGATCAAATCTGTAGCACAAGTTGAGACTTTATGTTCATACTGAGAATAAAATAAAAATGTTATTTATAACTTCTGTGTTTTTGAGTTGTTCAAGAGGTAGCGATAATTTGCTATCTGTCTAGTAGGGTCTGTAGTATTTTAACTCTAGTTTCTAGTTATAATAGCAATCATACGGATTCTAATTTACTAATTGATTTGCAAATATTTAAACTGTTATCATACTATCAGTCATAAATAGCAGAGTTTTGTTGATTTGTTAGTTTTTAAACTAGGAAGCTGTAGGGCAATATTCACTTGGTGTTTTTGGAATCTAAGCTAAAGACGTGAGAAAAGTTAAAAGAATAATTACGCATTAAATAGAATAAGCTGACTCGTATATATTACTGGCGTGTATTTAAAGCATCGGTTAGCAAGAATGCTAAAGCTATAATATAGTTTTTAAAAAGAACTGGCTAAAAATACTAACAGCAAGACGCGCTTATCAGAAGCTCTCTCAAATGAAGATTCAAAACCCTCAGCTTAAATGCATATAAAGCTAAGAATATCGAACAAGACAAACTGTAAAAGTGAGCATTTTACATAGCGAATGAAAAGGTGAGGATGATCTCGGATATACCTGCAAAATACCACAAGAAAATCATCAAGGCATTGATATTTTCTTAAAGCAGTAAGCCAAAGAAGTAAAATTAAAAGCACTTAGAAAATATTTATTTATTTATTTTTATTTACTTATTTGCATAAAATTTAGTCTCTTTTATGTTACGCTATTTGATTTATGCGACTTGAAAAAGAAAGAATTTGAACAAATTCGAGTAATGCAATGGCACTGTGATAAAACCATTAAAATTGTTCGTATGTATATCATTCTAAACTAAAATATAAATAATACAACTTTCTCAGGTATATTTCCTTTCTGAAAGGTCCGTTGAAAGACATATAAATCGTGCTTTATGGCATATTTTCTCTTTTATTGCATAATGGGTATTCAGAGGCATCATGATGAATACTGGGCGGCAAAGTATTCTTTCGAAAGAAATGCAATTCAAATAAATAGAACCAAATTAAAAATGCTTATATGAATAAGCATATTTAAAGTACGCAATGCGAATGAATAAACAGAAATTTTTAAAACAATTATTTAAAGAGGTATAATTAATCCACTTAAATCAACGGTCGCCAACCGGTGGTCGAAACCGTTTTGATGGTCCGCAGAAAAATTGGGACATAATTTATATTTTTATGAAAATTCAGTTTAAAAAATGACGAGTAATAAAACCTATTATGGAATATGAATTATACTTTTTTTAAATTTTAGCTATTACTTTATGTCAAAATACGTGTGTTAAAACAACACTATATATAACTCTAATATTTCTCCCG